AAACTGGTTCCTGTAGAAAATCCCCGAAAGGCTCATGGTTTGTAGGTAAAACACCAGGGGCCCAAGTGCAGTTTCAAACTGACTGTCATGAAGATGTTCTGGAGAAGCTGATTTTGGGAAGGACATATATGAGGGGGACCCAAAAAATCCAGGAATTTATTTATAAAAAATTGTGTATTTATTCTTATATGTTTAAACTTCAGTTACCTTCAAAGTATTCTCTATTTGGTGCAATACACCTGTTGGGACATTTTTTCCCACTGCTCAAAACAGTTTTTGAACTTGTTGATTTTGATGCCTTTTAGTGCTTCTGCCATTTTTTGTTTCACCTCTTTCACATCAGCAAAATGTTTCCTTTGAGGGCTTTTTTCATCTGGGAGGAAATAAGTCACTCAGGGCCAGATTGGGTGATGGGGGTGTGGCATGGGGGTCACACCATTTTTGGTCAGGAACTGATGAACACTCAGCACAGTGTGGGCAGGTGCACTCATAAATCACCCATCTCAAAATGGACAAATATGTTGAAAGAGTCTTCAAGAAAATTCACTCAAGCTGAATGCAGCCTCTCACAGCAACACCAGCTGGTACACTGATACAGATGGGTTCCTGGAACACTCTTGTAGGGGGGAAGCCTATACTACAAGAGGGCTGCCTTCCAGAAGATGATTCCATTTGTTTTTGGGTCCCCCCTTGTAGGTGAGGGAGCTGTCTTCTGGATGAACTTGAGGAGCATTGCTGACTGGGGAGATTTCGGCAGCAAAGAGGCCAGGGCTAGAGCCAGTGCTGTGTGGAGACAGACTAGGAGCTGTGGAGGGACTGGTCAGAAGCCAGGCAGGTGGGGCTGGAGTGCTGAGGTGGGCTGAAGCTGGATCTCTGGGAAGACAGAGCTAACACAATGATGGGTGTGGGGTGTGAGAGAAAGAGGAGGCCAGCAGGCGGCACTGATTTTGTTTCTTGGCTGGAGCAGATGGAAGGATGGAATTGCCAATGACTGGGATGGGGAAACCAAGGTTCTGGGGAGAAGCTGGAACAGTCTGGGCTTGTCCTATCCAGGAGTACTTGGCCTGCCTGGCTTTTTAGACGGATCCCTGTAATCCACCCAAGGCTACTGACTCTGCCCTTGGAGTCCCAAATGTGCATTTGGGTCTGGGTTAAGGCATTATATTATATCAGCAACCACCCTCATGAAACCAGTGGGACCGATTACTTAGTTAAATTGGGTGGTGAACCATCACCAGGGCTGCCTGTTCAGTGTCACTGGCAGAGAACAGGCTCAGGCAGTGGGAAGCAGGAGTGACTGCCTGCTTCATGCAGGCCCACAGGGACCCCGGGAAGGTTGCTTGTGCCTGCCAGTGAGAATGGGCACCAACTACAGCACATTTCTTGTGTCCTGGGCGTGACTTCCTAAAAACTGTGAGTCCGGTCCTGAAACCCTAGCAGGCTGGACTGATGCTGCGGTGTGCTCACTGTTAGGCAGTGTTCTCTCAGTTGAGCTCTGCTCAATGAGCCTCTCTCCTTGCCGAGGTCTCGTGAGGGCACAGGGAGCAGGAAGTGGCAGGGAGCTGGTTCATGGCTCCGAAGGGAAGGAGGAAGCATGCCTCGGTATAGGCTTTTTCCTGCACTGGAGGGAAGGGGCTGCAGAGTTATCTGTTGGGTGTCTGGGAAGCAGCAAAAAGCCAGATGCTGGTGAGCAAGTATAGTTGCCACTGATGTTGACAGTTTGTTTACTGGTGTTTGTCAGAAAACCTGGTCTTTGCACCAGGAGGGTATGGGAGAAGCAAGGTGTTAAGTGTGGCATTCCTAACACACAAGGTCCCAGCTGGTCACCCCGGTCATGCAAAGAAGGGATGAACCACTGGGCATACCGGAGCACCTCCAGGAAGAACGACTGTGGGCTCTGGGTCTGTGTACAGGATGGGCTTTGTGTGGGGGGTGCAGCTTTCTCTCTCAGGCTCTGCTAGCAGTGGTGTTTGGTGCCAGGGAGCGGTGTGATGCCTCATCGCCAAGTGATTGTAGCTGTCCTGGGTTGAGGGGCTTTAGAGAAAACTCTTCCTCTTTCTGACTCCTCTGAAGTAGCCTCTTCCATGGGGCTTCCTGATCCATGCTGTGACTCACTCAGCCTTTCTCTTCCAACTTTCTCTGTCATGCTGCCCTTGTGAGGATAGCAGAGGCCCAGGGAGGGTTTGCTGTGAGCCCGTTGGCTCCCATATGACAGCAGCAGGGGAGGCTAGACTCCGAAGGACAGGGAGCGTGGCCCCAGCTGTATGTGGGCTTTTTGCTGTGGGTTGTGTCTCATGGTTCATCCTGTACTTTCATGGGGCCTTGAGAAAGTCAGCTACCCAGTCTGGACTTCTGTGCTCTCATCTGCGCATCTCCTTTTTAAGATTGTTTTCAGAAGAGCCCCAGTGTGTATGATGGATAAAAGTGGGGCCCTGTGGTTAGTCCTCCCCAGAGGTTATTGATGCCTCCAGAACCCCTTCCTGGCCTGAGGTTTCTTATTTTCTGGAGAAGCCTCTGACAGGCATGGCCCACCCTCACTGAGCCTGTGTGAGTCATAACATCCCTCCCTGCCTTGCTGATGCCCCTCTGCCATATCTCCCTGCCCCCACATGGGTGACAGGTACGTTTTTGGGCTTGCTGTTCACTTGGTGGCCTGTGTCCTCTTGGCCAAAGGGACCATGTATTCCTCACAGAGTGAGGAGGAGGCAGTCAGTTTCATGAGTGCTTCCTTCCTTCTTCTTGTCTCCACACCCCATCGCAGTCCTCTAAAGTTCCCCACACCCTCTGTCCTCTTTATTTTTAGTGTAGTTTTGCTTCTAATGAGCTTTGGTCTTCAAATGAGGGAAAAAAATGAGGACAGAGGGGACATAGGAATCCTTGGTGAATTACCTTAAATTAATGAGACTAATAAGGGGATCAAGTTCAGCTGTGCGAATTAGCTTTATATTCTGGGTCTTGGTGACTTAAATTGCAGACTCTAATTAAATGCACCAAAATAACCACAAAAGCTTCTATGATCTGTGAACTCTATCAAGTGTAAAATTAGTCTGTAGGTGTTCCCCTTTAAGCATTTCTATCCCCAGAATCTCCTAACACCTATAATACTAACCCCGCTCCTAGAGGGAAGGGGCAAATGGGTGGAGTGGTCAGGGACCCTGCAAGGGGAGGAAGGAAGCAGGGATGAGGCCTTCTTTGGGCTATTGAGATGTCAGGATACAGATGTAGCCCTTTGTTAGGTGTCATGTCTCTGCTGTTCCAGCAGAATGGGGGCGGGGCTGGGGGAAGTGGTGGTGGTGGCTGCAGCTTCATTAAGAAGCTGGGAGAAGGTTCAAGAGAGAAGAGTGCCTTCCGCTGGCTGATTTCATTTCTAGGGTGCCACCTTCGCCTCTGGCCAGCACAGGATGCAGCTTTCAGTGATTCAAGGGATGACAGTGAGCCAAGAAAGGAAGCAAGCAGTTCCCTGTGGCCATGCCCCAGACCTGGCCAATCTCTCGATGTGGCTTCCTGCTGGCCCTTTGTTGTTGTGTCACATCTTTTTAAAGACTGTAACTAGAGCACAGTTGGAACAGTCCATTAAAAACCCACATGATGCAGAACTGACATAAACATTTTTTCATACTGTGCTGTCTTTATTGTAACCATTGACAAAATTAAACTTTTTATAGAGGCAGAAAAATAATTGGTGTGCAGATCAATGAATTTCACTCAGTAAATTCATTCATGGAGCTCAGATTGAGAGACAAGGCACCCCAAGCCTCCTCACACCCTCTCTGGTCCTGTCAGTACTTGCCCTGCAGAGGGACCACCATCTGGCTGTAACATCGCCCTCTTGTGGCTGTGCCTGAATCTCACAGGAATGCCCTCGCCTGGATCCACTCAGTGTGTCTGGCTCTTTCTTCCCCTTGGCATTGTTTCTGGGAGTTGTGTGTGATATTTTGTCCATTCTGCTCTTGATAGACACTTGGATTGTTTCTGGTTTTTGACTGTTATGAATGTTACTGCTGTAAAAGGTGTAAATGTTCTTTACACCTGTTGAGGGAACATACATATGCATTTCTGCTAGCAATTCCAGATCATGGGTTGGGTGTGTGTTCAGTTTGAGTAGATACTATGGTTGTTCTCTTTACTCTTCCAGCTGTTCGTCTGGTTCTGTTATTCCACATCCTTCCAGCACTTGGTATTGCCTGTCTTTTCATTGTGGCTATTCTAGTGGGTGTGCAGATACAGCTCATGGTTATGATTTGCATTTTCCTGATGACTAATGAGGTTGAAGAACTTTTCCTATGTTTATTGGCTTTATTATGATCATGTGAACAGCCATACATTAGTGTGTCTTATAGGTGTTAAAGAGTAGACTCATTTGTAGTTGGGCATTTAGATTGGTTTCAGTGTTTGTCATTGTAAGGAATGCTGCAATAAGCTTATCTGGAGTGTTGGTGAGAGTGTTGTGGACAAATGTTGATAAATAATGTCAGATTGCTTTCCAAAATGCTTGCACCACTCTGAAGTGTCATGAGCAATATAGGAGAGCCCTATAGAATTTCCCCTGGGGTCTTCCAACAAAGCATATTCTCTATAGAACAACAGACCGTTTTTGGAGTACTAATTTAGGGAATGTAGATATGGTGAGCATGGCTTTAGTTGTTATGAGTGAGTTTGGTCACTTTTCAAAATGTTTACCATGTGTTTTATGAATTCTTACCTTTTGCTACTTGGATTTTTAGTGAGTTTTTCAAAATTAATTTGTACATTTCAAATTAACAGATATTAGTATTACAAGTACTTTTCCATTTGTATTGCATATTTTTTACTGTACGCCTTTTGAGGTTAGTAAACTGACGATTCTTTGGTTAGATTCGTGTGTGGAGCTCAAAGGAACATGTAGTAGCTTTTGGTTTCCCCATATTTCTGGGTATCAGAATTATAATGTACGTGTTATCTGTTCACACGAACTTGTGTTTGTTGACCAGCTTATTAAATTTATAATTTTTTATTTTTAGTTGATGGATTTGGACGTGCTTCTATGAAGAAATGCCACGTGTCTTTACTGATCCAAGAACAAACATGCCCGGTAAGTTACTGGGTGAATTCACTCGAGAGTAGGAGCATGGGCCCTTCAGGTATGGAAGTGTAGACACACTTGGACAAGACAGGGGTGTCTGAATATTGGAGGCTTTGGAAAGGAATGTTTTAAACCAGCCTTCTTGCTCAGTCTAATTAACTTCTAAAGTGCGGTTCCTACTAGAGACAGTAGGAGTTACAGCGTGTAGGGTTAGAAAAATGTGAAACTCACTTCTTGCTGCTTACTCCACTTAGAGCAGAATGCCAGTTCCATGCTGTGTAATGGAGCCTGCGGTGGCCATCTTCACAGGGATGTCCATATCCACGGCCCAGCACCGCCCACTTTAGTTAGGCATAGGTTACCATGTACACGTGTGTGTTCTGTGGGAAAGCAAGCCCAGGACCGAGCCCCACAGGAAATTTCTGTAGCTCTGAGAAGGGAGAGGGAAAGTTGGAGGGCACATGCCTTTGTTTCTTCAGTGCTCACCATGCTGCTGTCCTTCCAGAGGTTGTAGTGAAGTCATTTAAACTTTTATAAAATTGTATGAGACCTGCCAATGGAAAAGCATAATAATGAAACCAACAAGAAAATCTCAAAAGCCGTATTTTATGATTCTTTGCAAACTGCCATTTAATTTGGCATATCTTTATTGGAGGTAACATGATTTCTGTCTGGGACCCCACGGGCATGCCGTGTTGGCACGTGTGGTGTGTGAGGGCATGCTGGGGAATGCACAGGAAGAGACCCTCACTTGGCCCTAACTTGCTGGGACTCTGGCTTTGCTGCATCTGCTCATGTTAGATGGTGGACTTTCCATGGTCGCACAGTGTCTTTCTGCCACCATCTCTGTGCTTCTTACCAGTGTTTGTTTCTGTTTCTCAGGACTGCTGCCACCTTAGGGGACTAGGGCTGGGTGACAGCTCTTCCCAGAGAGTCAGGCATCATCTGAACCCAGGAGCAAGAAGCATATTATCACCAATGACAGCATGACAGCAAGAGAGCACAGCCCTCGCCATGGCGCCAGGGCCCGTGTGATGCAGCGAGCATCCACCATTGATGTGGCAGGTGACATGCTTGGCCTCTCTCTGGCAGGTGAGCCTCAAGGGTCCCGCACCCAGCTCCTGGTGGGTCCTGCACTACAGCAGTTCTGGGAGGGCCAAGCATACCTCCTTGGGCACCTGGTGAATGGCCAGTATGAGCCCCCATGACTGCCCTTGCCTGCAGGGTGGTCCCTGGTGTGGCATCTTCTGGTTGGGTCAGAATAGGGAGGAGAAAGTCAGCACACTTCCTGGGAACCGCCCCCACTGGAACCAGTCTGCTGTCAGATTTCCAGTTTGGGGGGCTGATTCACCAGGAGATAATGTGGAATGTCCACAGGGGTGTCTGGCCAGTGCCTGGGGCCACAGTAGAAGCCTGCCTCTTGTGGGTATGCGGACCTGAAAAGGAAGGGGTTTGAACTCAGAGCCTGAGGCTTCTTAGGAATCACAAAATAAAATGTTTAGAAAATATAGAAATCATCTCGATTAACAACAGTTTTAGATGGAAAAATCAAGTAGAATGTTGGAGTTTTCCCCCCTAACTTTATTGAGAAGTAATTGAAATAAATCATGATGGTTTGATTTACAAATATTGTGAAACAATTACAAGTATGTTGGTTTGTTTTATTTTGTTTTTTTCCATAAAATCTAAAAGCAGGGAAAAGTTGATTAAGGGTAACTTTTTTCTGGCATTTCTTTTTATTCAGGAAATCTACAAGATCCAGATGAACCCATTTTAGAATTCAGCTTAGGTGGGTGCCTTTTAACTTTTTTTTGTTTTAAAATATATGTTGCTCAAAAACAAAACACAACTGCTAGCTTGAGATTGTCTTAGAGAACTTGCTGCTGCCGCCACTGCTGCTAAAGTGTCTCTGAGAAGATGAAGCCGGAGGCTTGTGTGGACTTCTGGGGTGAGGGGTGCTGGTGACTGCATGCCTCAAGGGCTGGAGGTGGTGAGCCCACTCAGAGCTGCAGAGACAGCCTCTCTTCCCCTCCTCATGCCCCTCTGGGAAGACCTGAGAGGGATCACAAGGTGGGGCTTAGGGCCAGCTGTGCCACCCTGGCCATGAGGCCCCGTGTGATTGAGGTTAGCTTTGTTGCCCTTATTTCCTACTCAGTGAACGAAGGTGGTGACACCTGCATGCTCCCCTTCTCAGAGAACGTCATTGAGAGAGTGGACTAAAATTCGTAGCACATGTCAGCTCCAGGATCAGGGAAGTATGGCATTACAGTGGCTTATCCAGGAGGTTGGAGAGCAAGGTGCGGTCAGCTCAAATGCTGGGTCTTCTCTGGAGTCAGTGCTCTCTTGTGTCCTCTCCCTTTTCTGCATCCCCTGGTGGTGGTCAGCATTGGTCAGTGACCTGGCAGTGGTGTCCAGGAGGTGATGTGACATAAAAGAAGTACCTCCTGGGGAGTCAGATGACCTGGAATCTAGTCCATGCTGTGCCACAAACTAACTGTTCAGCTTTTAGTCTGTACTTGACCTTGCTGGACATGTGATTTTGTAGATCAGGAGCTCATGCTTTCCTTGTTGAGTGTTTGTCCACCACATATATGAGCCACAGTTTATTCTCTTGCTGATGCACATGTGGGTTGTATACAAATTATATATTTACATAAATATATTAATGCATATTTTATATACAAAATTTTATTTATATATTTATTATATGTAAACTGTAATTTATAGCTTCAAGAAGATAGTATATCCATCCAACAAGAATGGGATACTCTAAAGAAAAAGAGAACAGTTCAAGAATATGGATAATTGCAGATAATTATATAATGTATTTAATGTAGTATTTAATTATGCATAATTAAATAATGGATATTTTTAAAAGGATAGAAAATATTTAAAAATTCAATAAAGTTTGGTAGATATTTAATCAATAATCCAAGAACATAAAATTTTAAAAGCAAAATAGAAAATGGGAGAGAAATTAAAATGGAAAATTACAGAGCAACTTTGGGAGGTCCAACACTTAGGAGAGAAAATAGGAGAGAATGTAAGGCGGAGCTTCCGGCCAAGATGAAGGTGAAGGTAGATACACCCTCACCTCATTCACAGCCGTAAGAAAGACTACAACTAACTTAAAAACAAAAACCACCCAGAACTGCCAAAAAAATCACCCAGAAAAACACTGAAAACTGTATGGAAGTCAGACAACCAAGGATTTAAAGAAGCTAAATTCATCCGGATGGGTAGGAGGGGAGGAGATGGGGAATCGGGTTGGAGAGGACTTGGTGTGGGTGGACAGCAGGGTGTGGAGAGGCAGAGAAGCAGCGAGGCAATAAGGCAATGAGGCCGGCAGAATAGGCAGCCCCTCATTCACATGTGGTGGATAAAAATCAGGGGGACACCTTGTGGGCGAAGCATCCCAGCTCCAGTCTAGACCATGCAGCTCTGGGCTTCAGTGCCAGGAAAAATAAAGCTACATAACTTCTGGCTGTAAACTCACTGGGGTTTGGGGTGGCAGAAGATGCTGCTGGAGAGTCCCGAACATACACAAATACACACACCCTGGGAACCACAACTAGGGCAGCAGTTGAAGGGATGCCAGTTGCACACAGGAAGTGAGTAAAGTGACTAGAAACAGAGCAAGGGCCAGGCAAGCCCCCAGAAGTCAGCATATGGGGCAGCAGCATTGTCTCCTCTTTGACCCCTCCCCCCCACACAGAGCCAAAGTTGCCCCACCCTGGCAAATATGCAAGGCTCTGCCCCATACGACTTAACAAGTGTGAGAAAGTGGAATCAAAGAGGCTCTATCTAGTACACAGACACAAGGAGCCTGCCAAAATCAGGAGACAAAGAAATATGACCCAGATGCAGGAAAAGAACAGAACCCCAGAAAAAGAACTAAGAGATGTGGAGATAGCCAACCTATTAGACGCAGAGTTCAAAACACTGGTGGTCAAAATGCTCAGAGATCTCACTGAATATGGCAGAAGCATAAGGAAGAAATGAAAGCCCTACTAAGGGAAATAAAGAAAAAGCCACAGGAAACCAACAGTGGAGGGAAAGAAGTCAGGATTCAAATCAATGATTTGGAACATAAGGAAGAAATAAACCTTCAACCAGAACAAAATGAAGAAACAAAAATTCAAAAAAATAGATTTTTAGAAGCCTCTGGGACATCTCCAAAAGGGCCAACATCTGAATCATAGGCACACCAGAGGAGAAGAGGAGCAAGAAATTGAAAACTTATTTGAAAAAATAATGACAGAAAACTTCCCTAATTTGGCAAAGAAAATAAACATACAAGTCCAGGAAGCACAGAGAGTCCCAAATAAGTTGGACCCAAAGAAATCAACACCAAGACAGATCATAATTAAAATGTCAAAGATTAAAGATAAAGAATCTTAAAAACAATGAGAGAAAGGCAGAGAGTTACCTACAAAGGAGTTCCCATAAGACTGTCAGCTGATTTCTCAAAAGAAACTTTGCAAGCAAGAAGGGACTGGCAAGAAGTATTCAAATTGGTGAAAAGCAAGGACCTATAACCAAGATTGCTCTATCCAGCAAAGCTATCATTTAGAATGGAAGGGCAGATGAAGTGCTGCTTCCCAGACAGGGTAAAGCTAAAGGAGTTTATCATCATCAAGCCCTTATATGAAACATTAAATGGACTTATTTAGGAACAAGAAGAAGATCAGAACTATGAACATTAAAATGACAACAAACACAACTATCAACAATTGAATTTAAAAGACAAAAACAAACTAAGCAAACAACTAGAACAAGAATAGAATCATAGATAGTGACATCATTTGGAGGGTTATCAGTGGGGAGGGGGAAAAGGGAGAATGGGGGAAAAGGTATAGGGTTTTAGAAGCATATTGGGTAGGTACAGAATAGACAGGGGATGTTAAGAGCAGTATAGGCAATGGAGAAACCAAAAAACTTACATGCATAACCCATGGACATGAACTAAGTGGGGAGGATATTGCTGACGGAATGGGGGGTCTAGGCAGAGGGGGGCAAAGGGGGAAAACTGGGATAACTGTAATAGCATAATCAATGAAATATACTTTAAAAAAAGAATGTAAGGGAGGAAATTACCTATAAATACTACCAGGGATCTCTCAGGACTGAAGGATATATTTCTAGGCTAAAAATGCCCACCAGGCCCAGCATATTGAAACAGAACCATCATAAGTCACATTATGCTGAAATTTCAGAGCATGGATAATAAAATCAAGACTCTAAAAACTTCCAGAAAGGGAAAAAAATGGTCATATCCAAGGATCAGGGATGAAACTACCAGGGAGACTCTCAGTGACATGAGAAACTCGAAGGCAAGAGGGCAGCACTTCCAATATGGGAGGAAAATATTTCCAATCTAGAACGCTGTCTGTGCTCAACCAGACTGCCAGTCACATGTGAAGGTAGAAGGCAACTTGTTCCAGCTATACAGAGCTTTGTTGGACTTTGAGCTAGGAATTAAACATTCAGTGAGGTTTCGGTAGGCTGGGTTGGTGACGAGACCAGGAGAGAATGTCATCTATAGGAAGATGTGTTCTGAAGGTGGCATTTTGCCCATCAGCCCTTAAATTGATATTAATCTTCCCATCCTTTGGCCACCTATTATTCCTCAGTCTGTCTGCCTTCACTTGTGCTTGAAAGGCCCAAATATTCCAGCCTTGCATGGGTGTTACGAACCCGCACATGACGAAAGGGCACGTCAAGAGAGAACAGACCAGGGGTCATTTAAGGGCATAGCATAAAGGTCAGAGAGAAGGCAGAACAGTCAAATCCCCAGTTCCTGTTGAGGTAGACATAGTAGAAGAAATAGAACAGAACTTTAAAAAATAAAATCTTAAAGGTTCTAGAAATAAACAAAGGATATAACTCACAACCTCAGGGTAGCCAAAGATTTCTCAACGCAAAAAGCACTAACTCTGTGCTTTAGTTTGCTATTGCTGCCATAACAAATTGCTACAAATTCAGCACTTTAAAACAACACAAATTTGTTATGTTTACAGTTCCCTACGTCAAAAATCCAATGTGCTCCACTGAGTCTCTGTTTAGAGTCTTACCACACCAAAACCAAAATATTATCCGGGCTGTGTTCCTTTCTGGGCCCTCAGGGAGAACCTGTTCTCTTGCTGGTTCTGATTGTGGGTGAACGTTAGTTCCGTATGGTTTCAGGGCTGTGGTCCCCATTTCTTGGCCAGTTGGCTCTCACTTCATAAAGGCCCCTCACTTTTCTTGGCTTGTGGGCCCCTTTCTCCATCTGCAGAGCCAGCAACAGCAGGTCCAGGTCCAGTGCCTTTTGCACTTTGAACCTCACCTCTTTTTCCACACTCGGGTCTTTCTGACTCTACCTTCCTCTCCTACTTTTAAGAGCTCATGTGAGTAGATTGAGACCACTCAGATAATCCAGAATAATCTCCTCATGTCAAGATTCCAAGACTTTAGTCACACCTATGGAGTCCTTTTGCCTGTGTCCCATAAACCAAAATGTTACGGGTTTGATTCCCAGTCAGGGCACATGCCTAGGTTGCAGGTTCGGTCCCCAACTGGGACACATGTGAGAGGTAATTGATCAATATTTCTCTCTTACATCGATGTTTCTCTCCCTTTCCTGTCTCCCTCCTTTTCCCTCTCTCTAAAATTAATAAGCATGTCCTTGGGTGTAGATTAAAGTATAAAATAATGAAAAAATACTCACAGGTTTCAGGGACTAGGATATGGATAGTTTTGGGGGAAAGGGACATTTTTCTGCCTACCACTTTCTAAAATTAAAAATCTAAAATAAAATAATTAAAATTTGTTAAGAAAATGACTAGATAAATCACAGACTGGGAAAGAGATATTTACAACACATATGCCTGTCAAAAGAACATATCTAAAATAAAATGCTTACAAATCAACAGTTAAAAAGTCAACAATCCAATTTGAAAATCAGCGAAAGACATGATTAGACTCTTGACAAAAGAAGTTTTTAAAATAAACAATAACTGTGTGGTGAAAAGATGCTTAACCTCTCAGAAGTGCAAATTAAAACACATCCATCAGAACAACTAAAATAAGCACTAACCTCACTGCATGTTGGTGGGGATACAGAGCAACTGGAATTCATGTGCATTGCTGATGGTGTTGTAAAATAGTGCAACCGCATTAGGAAACTCTTAGCTTATGAAATGGGGCATATCCTCTGCTGTAACCTAGAAGTGTCACTCTCAGGTGCTTCTGCAAGAGAAATGAAAATGTAAATTCACAAAAAGACATGGACAAGAATGTTTATAACATCTTTATTTATAATGGTTCAACATGAAAAAACTCAAAAGTCCATTAACAGAATGCATAAAAAAATTTTTGGTACATTTATGCAATGAAATACAACTCAATTTAGAAGACAGTGAATCATCAGTACATATAACAATGTAAGTGAATCTCAAAACATTCAATTTATATGCAATTCAAGACTAGACTAAAGTGATGGAAGTCGGAAAGTGGTTGCAGAGGTGGTGAGCTGACTGGAAATACAGAGGGAACTTTCTAGTCCGATGGAAAAAGTTTTCTGCTTTGCTTCGATGGTGGTTACATGGGTATATATGATTGTCAGAACTCCTTGAACTGAAAAGCTAAGCTCTTTATATTTTATTATATCCAATAAATAATAAAAACTCAAGATACATGAGAAGATATTACAAAGGGGATAGTCAGAGGACCAAAATTAATTTTCAGAAGTAAAAATCAATTTCTGAATGTTAAGTCACCAGTGAGCATTTTAAAAGTCAAATGGGAATGATGGGGACAGCGTAAGGAGCTCCTGAAATTTTCCGTTCGTAAAGGCGAAGAGAGCACTGGCAGAAATGGTCAGAATGGATTGTTTCTGAGCCCTGGAAACTAAGCAAAGCTGGTAGCACTCTAGGGAGCGTTTGCTGTCCTCCAAAAGAGCTAGTTGTTTCTACTCGTGATGAACTTTGATTTATTGTATATTTAATCAGTTCTAAGATATGTATTTTTTCATGTTGTAGTATCTCTGTAATAAAAAAAGTGTCTCACAATCAATAGCATAGTTTAAAGGCAGTGGGTCATTTTTTCTTCCACGGTGTGTTTTGCAACAGATAGCATGTTAGGTTGAATGAAATAGGACCATTTTCCTGTGGGTCACTTCTATGATGGAATTCAATGAGTCTCACAATCTATTTCAAAATGCTGCTAGTACAATAAATTTTCTAAATGGAACAATTCTACTTTTAAAAAGTAACATTTTTAGTAATCTTTCATTTGATGTGAGTCTTATAAGGAGAATCGATAAGCAATGGCTATTTTTTTTTTAACGTTTTGTTTACTGTGCCATAGAACTTTAACTTGCTCCCCGTGTACACCCACAGAGACTGTGGGTGGCACAGGCTTGGGGCCCGCATGGCACCGCCAGGTGCAGGCGTGAGCAGCTGTGCTGTGATTTCATAGACGCTGGTACTGCTTAGCTCAGTTGGTTAGAAGTTCGCAAAGGTCAAATGCTGTGGTTCGACACCATGTGAGATCGTAGGCTCTGGGCTGCGTTCCATGGACATAGATGCCCCCTTTGACTCAGCCTTCCCTGGCACTTACGACACTGCTATCATGGTGGTTGGGGGAGGAGGGGAGGAATGAGAAGAGGTTGTTTGCAATTTAAAAAATCAGCTCCCTGCAACAGCTGACAATGTAATTGTCTAATTCTTCTGAGTGCCATGTACTTTTTTGCTCTTTGAGTGTGTGTGGAACTAAGATCTAACTAGAGCCTCGGTTCCTGTTGGTAAAGGATTCATTTTTCCCCCCATCTTGATTCCACAGCCTGCAGTGAGCTGCATACGCCATCGCTAGATCGGAAACCAAACAGTTTTGTAGCAGTGAGTGTGACCACCCCTCCTCAGGCGTTCTGGACGAAGCATGCTCAGACGGAAATCATTGAGGTGGGTGCTGCTGGCCCCGGGGCTCAGCAACAGGCTCCCCGTGTTTGCCGCTGCAGTGGCAGGGCTGCTCAGCAACCTGAGCACCTGAGCTGTTGTACAGCTCTGTGAATTGTTACTATTTTCCATGTCTTTTTAGTAATTGATATTTTTTCATCACACTCTCCTGGATGGCATTTTTATTTGCCATATCCTTTACAATTATTGCTCAGCTACTGGTAGGTTATTTTTGAACATTGATGTTATAAGGTTGATTGTCTTTTAAGAAGTAAGATCCAATTCTTCCTTGTGTCTTTCAGTTGGCTGCTTCTTTTGGAGAATTGTGTTCATTAATCAAAGTTTGGAGAGTAACTCTTAACCAACCCTCTTATTGGACATACCTCTATTTTTATTGGGTTTTATTTTTACATCCTTTGTATGTTATGTATTTACTTTTTACATTAAATGATATGCATTCACCTTGGGAATTTTACAAAAGCCTTTCAGCTAATTGAGCACATTGTGTAAGTTGTGAAACTAAGTGTAGGAGTTGCTGGTGTGAGATTCTCCAGGGTTCTGTTGGTGCTGTGCAGTCCTGTGTGAATTATCTGCTGCCTGGTAGGCTCCAGCAGACTCCCACTGCACTTCCTCTTCATCCCTAACTTTACATTTTGGAAGATAGACCTTTTCATTCTCTTATCAACTTATTTCCAAGTTCAAGTCAACAATCTGTTTTCTAAGTCTTTTTTGAGCACTGCCCACCCATGAAGCACAGTGCTGGGTGCTGAGGGTGATACAGGGACTGCTGAGCCCCACCTCCTGCCCCCAGGAAGTGTACAGTCCTGTGGTGGAGGAGGCAGAAATGAATGTGTCCACGTCTACACCCAGCAGCATGTGTGTGGGGGGTGTCAGAGATGAGGATAGCACCAGGAGGATGGGTTCCCAGGCAGTTCTGAGGATTGGAGGTGGCTTCCTACAGTCGCTTAGAGCAATTATGACTTCATAGCTCTGGGGTGGGGCCCAAGACTCCATTTCTTACAGACTCCAAATAATGCCCTTGCTGCCAGTCAAGGGACCACAGGTTCAGAGCAATGCAGATTTCTGTGGTAATGATGCAGAGGCCCAGCGATGAGGGAGCATCAGGTGGCTTAGAGAGTACCATATTTCTGCCATGTATAATGTGCTTTTTGTATAATGTGCACCCACATTTCTGGGCCCAAACTTTCAGGAAAAAAATCTTTTGTTTTAATTTTTTAAATTCAATTATTTATTTATTTATATTTAGATACTTGTTTTTATATTATGAGGGAATTTTGGCATTTGGACAATTTATGGTACAAGAAATTTTATGTGACAAATAATTACAAAACACAAGAACAGATACAAGGTACAATAAATTTGCATATGGGTATCATTATTACTTCCTAGAGTTATACTTTTAATACCTAAGCATAAATTAAAGAATTAAAAACATTTATATAGATAGGGAATCAGTACTACCCATGTATAATGTGCATCCTTATTGTTACCTCAAAAATTTGGGCAAAATGTGCACATTATACATGGCAAAATATGGTAACTTTAGCCTGTTTGGTATGTGCAGAAGGCACAGGTGGAGGTCAAGGGGGACATCTTGAACAGCAGGCTGAGAGTTTGTTTGCAGCTGGCCAGCACAGGCTTTTATACAAGGATCACCTGACCAGGCTCGGACAGTTGTTGTAGGGGTGGGACTTGACACTTGGTTGCACTGGAAAGGAGGGGCAAGAAGGGGCACATGTGAAAGAGGATTTGTAGAAGAGTTCATTGTCACTGGGTGGTTGAGAATGATGAGAAAGAGGCACCAAAGCAGATGCCCAAGTTTGTAGCCTCCTTGGAGGGGAAGTCAGAGATGGTTAGCCAGGGGTGGTTTGAGGGAGACAGGGAGGGCTGTCCAGCAGACTGAGAGACTGGGTCTGGAGCTGCAGAGGGCACACAGTCAGAGACACAGACCCCACCACACAAGTATACACGGAACTGCTAACCATTTGGCTGAGATAATTACCACTGCCTGAGAAAGAGAACTTGGTATCATGGGGCTTTGGAGGACAAGGCTATGCTACCAGGAAGTAGCACCTATGATCTAGAAACTAACAGTCCTCAGAAAAAGAGGTAGTCTTAAAAAGGTCAGGCCTTAATTGTTTCAAACCCCACAGGATTCTAGAAATAAGAAACGATTTAAGCCATTCATTTCTTCTGTCCACCTTGGCACATCTTATTGGAACAGCCCAAAGTAGTAGATCCAATCACCTCACTCATCTAAAGTTGAACGACACATGGAGGGGCCACCTGTTTCCATTTTATAAAATCCCTCGTGTTAAGGAGAAGCTTTTAGAGCAAACTCTGGGCACAGCTTGGTGGAGGCCCATTCCCTGCGTCTGGGCTAGTCACGGTCTGTCGGGCTCCTTCGTCCTCCTTGAAAAGCAGGTTTTTGTTTGTCTGCATCCATTGAAGCCGCCATGAGCATTTGTGTTGATCCAAGTTGGTAGGGTTGTTAATTTCTTGTTCTGAAAATGTTGGTGTATTTCAAGAGCAATTACTTTAAAAATTCAACTCCATGTTCTGATGCTTTTCTTTTCCATTCTAGGGAACCAACAATCCTATATTTTTAAGCAGTATTGCCTTCTTCCAAGACTCCCTTATCAATCAGATGACACAAATCAAACTATCCGTGTATGACGTCAAAGACAGATCTCAGGGAACAGTTAAGTAACATGTGGTTCACAGGGTTTTCTTCGCTTTTTAAAGTGCTGTGATCATCTCAGTGAGAGGTGAGCGTGAGATTGCCTTGACTTCTAGCTTGCACATGAACTGCTGCCCACACGGCTTTATGTCTGGGAATTTCTTTCTGAGCACCCCTGTGGGCTCCTTCAGTGAGAGTCAGAGGTGTTGTGGGCCCAGCCGCTGGTTGGAGCAGAGGCAGAGCAGGTAGACTCAGGCTGTCTTTCCCTCTTCCTCAGATGTACTTACTGGGCTCTGGGACATTCATTGTCAAGGACCTGCTCCAAGACAGGCATCATCGGTTGCATTTAACACTAAGGTTGGTATTTAATTTTGTTCCTTTAAAAGGGTGTGGAGTTGTGAGGTCCAGGGACTGATGGGGAAGGGCCAATTTCCTGGCCTCTCCCCGAGGCTGGTCTTAGCAGGGAGTGGTTGTTCACTGAAGCAAACTGGAACCTCAGCCTCTCAGGGGGCCTGTTGGGGGAGGGTGCATGTGGCCTTCATAGGAAAAATGAGCACCGCTGGCTCAGACCTGAAGGAAAACCTAGGCACATGTCTATTAAACCAAATGTGTTCATATAGTATCTGCCTCCTGCCCAATAGAATGTCAGCTCCCAGAGAGTGATTTTTGTCTGTTTTGCTTCGTTGCTCTACCCTAAGCCTGTAGAATAGTCCCTGGGGCCCAGTAAGTATGTGTGAGGGGAACCCCTACTGTGTCCCTGGAAGGAAGATGAAAGATGCCAAGATAGCAAACCTTCCCAAGTGCATTTTAGGGGCAACTTCCACCCAAACCCTGACTGGTGTTAATGTTTTCAAAATAAAGTGAAAAGTGGGAAAATAGTCCAAAATAGCAAAGAAACTTTTGAGAAAGAGGATGCATTCCCAGCTGAGTGGTGTGATACTCTGCAGCGTGGTGACGGGAGTGCCGCAGGCACTGGATGGGCAGAGCCCTGCAGACGCCCTTGGTGTGAACCAAGCACCTGACTCAGGGAAAATGGGAGGGGTTGTGTCAGGGAAAGGGCTCTTCGAGAAAAATATGCAGGTACATCATTTACCAGAAGTAATTCTAGTTGGATTGGAGTTATATGTAAGAATTGGACACTATCTTTTTTTTAAAAGCTAAAGATGACCATTGGATAGTGTGGGAAAAAGGACTTTTCTGGGCATGAGAACAAGAGAAAGTCCCAAAGGAAATAGGCAGTAGAGTGACCACATGAAAATTAGAACTGGCCAAATCAGACCTCTTAAATAAAAAGCCTGGGGCTTCCCTGGAGGAGTCAGATGGGCCTGGGCAGCCACAGCCCACCAAGGGATCTTAGGGGTATAGCTGACCAGGGCTGGACCGGCATCAGCTGTATTGTGTCAGGGTTCAGAGGCTTTGGGAAGCCCTGAGTGACCTCAGCTGACTTGGGGTGCAGGTCTAGGCTTTGGGCAAATCAAAGCTTGAGGGTGGGTGGGAAGGAGCAGGAAGGGGTCAGCTGCCAGAAGAAGGTACTCTCCAGTCCTGATTCTGAGATGTGGGGCAGGGGTCAGCCCCAGGGAGCAAGCATTGGCCCTCCCCTTGGCTTCACTGGGCATGCTCACACTTCTCTGTGAGCTTTGTCCCTTCCTCCGTGTCCCCATGGTTTCCTGTCTGCTGCTCCTGGAGTCTGGGCATGCAGTGAATGCTGCCTGACTGACCAGCTGGTCAGGTCCTGGCATGCCCTGGGCCCCTTGGTGACCCAGGATGGCTGAGATTCAAGCAGAAAATGAAGCACATTCAGTGCCACCACTTCCCAAAGCATGTTCCTTGTTGCAGGTCTGCAGAGAGTGACCGTGTTGGTAACATCACGGTCATTGGCTGGCAGATGGAGGAGAAGTCAGACCAGCGGCCTCCAGTGACCCGGTCTCTGGACACCGTCAATGGGAGGGTAAGCACACCCTCCGTCAGAAGGAGTACACAATTCTTCATAAATAAATTCTAGGTTTTTGGGTCCCCCCTCATATTTATTCTAGTGCTGATGGTGGGCGTTAATCCTAAGCATCTTTCCATGACATCTGTAGGCCACCACTTCTCCTGAGTGCTGTGTGCTCATCTGAGTCATGATTTTCTTGTGCTTTTCTATACATGTCACCAGATGGTCTTGCCTGTTGACGAGAGCCTGACTGAAGCATTGGGAATACGATCCAAATATGCTTCATTGCGAAAAGATACTTTACTGAAATCGGGTAAACAGTTTCCTCCACTGGTACTCAGGCCACTCTCAAGAGTGTCCACTTGGGCCCGTAGTCACCCTTTCCAACCCACCTGTTGTGGTTGCCATGACCATGCCCCTGATGGTCTCTTCTCTGCTGTGTTCTTTTTGCCAGCATAGAAAGAGTTGGCAGTACTCCCAGGAAGGGGCTTGCTCCCTCCCCTCACTGTCTTGTTTTGCATTGGGTTTAATGACTGCCAGCCTCACTGTCCCAGCCCTTACACTTGGGAATTAGTTACACATTCTGGGACAAGAAGGTTGCATGTTTTAGGGGAAGAGCATTGAGGCTCAGTCACCTGGTGGGTTTTTGGTTTAAATGTTTAATTTCTTTGAGATGACTAGTAAGAAGACTGAGTGTGTCAGCACTGTTGAGGGCCCGGGGGAGGACCTGGCGCGGGTCTGTGGCCTGCTCCCACACAGCCTCTGTCTCCCTCACCTCAGTGTTCGGTGGTGCCATCTGCCGCATGTACCGCTTCCCCACCACGGATGGCAACCACCTGCGGATCCTGGAGCAGATGGCAGAGAGCGTGCTCTCCCTACACGTGCCCCGGCAGTTCGTGAAGCTGTTGCTGGAAGAAGATGCGGCCAGGTGAGGCCAAGTGGAGAGGCTGACCACCTGCCACGCCCATGTCATGTGCCCTTTTCCTTCTGGAAAGCTCTTAAACATGTGTGGTGGACAGAGCACTGGCACCAGATAGGCCAGATGGCAAACCCAGCCTCTGCCACTTGATTGCTCTGTGGCTTGGGCTTCCAAAGCCTCAGTTTGCTCATCTGTGTCCTGGGGTTTCTTGTGAGGACTTCACAGGGCAATGTGCCTAGAGCACCAGATGTGTGCCCAGAACCTGGTACATGCGCTCTTCCCCTCTCCTTTCACCTCTCATTTGGTCTCAGAAAGTTAAAAATAGCTGTTTGTTCTTTGGTTAGGGCTGCCTGGGTCAGTAGTTTCCTGGGGCAGAGCCGCAGTGATACGGGCTCCAGAAGGTTAAGTAGGACCCATGGGAGCACCTTCCAGCTCAGGGCAGAGAGAAGCCTGGGAGGTGGTCCGGGCCCTGCAAGCTCTGTCTCCCACCTGCCTTACACTGTCAGTACTGCTCCTTGTCATAAAATGTTAATTACGAACAATACGACAGAAGTGTGAAAGAAGACAGACAATACAGCCAGAATCTGACTGTTTTAATACAGCTATTTAGTTTTAAATATTTATCTTAAAAATATTGAGACTTCCTGGCTGGTGTAGCTCAGTTGATTGAGCGCAGGCTGCGAACCAAAGTGTTGCAGGTTCGATTCCCAGTCAGGGCCCACGCCTGGGTTGCAGGCCATGACCCCCAGCAACCGCACATTAATGTTTCTCTCTCTCTCTCTATCTCCCTCCCTTCCCTCTCTAAAAATAAATAAATAAAACCTTTAAAAATATTGAGACTTAAAGAAAAATGGCAAGAAATGCAGAGAACTGTTTTCTATTTGTACATATTTTATCTGTACTTTAATTTTTAAATTTTTTCTTTTAGCTTTTTGTATTTATATCTATGTACCTAGCTACTGTATATCTTCTCTTTTCTTCTTATTTCTAGTTAGGACATAGTCTCCCATTATTTGTACTAGGTATGTACTTGTATGTACTATAACTTTAGAAGCTGTGTTCATTTAACAAGCATTTTGCTTTCGAGGGTTGTGTTGCTTTCCATCCTGTGAGGCGGGTGCTGTGCTCAGTGCAGAGGCTTCTTGATGAGTGAGACACACCACGGAGGACAGTCACTAACAGACAACTGGGGCTATGCAGAGAGCCCTAGAAAGTGCCAGCGGAAAGTGAAGGGGGGCTGTGAGAGGAGGGTGTTGTGAGCAGACCTGTGTGAGACGGTAGCATTAAACTGACATCAGAAGCATAAGAAGCAGCCACATGAAGCACAGGAGACATCCAGAGAGTAGGGCCATCCTGGCAAGACAGTCTGGCTGTCGTGCGTGTGAGCCGACCGCAGGCCAGGGCCAGCGGGCCTCGTGCGGGAGGATGCTGCTCTCCCACCCCACACCCTACAGCCTGGCCTGCACTGCGCGTGCTTTTACATTAATTTTGCCGATTTAATAATTAAATAGTACAACTTTTTTTAACATCAGTCAGTTTAGTAGATTCCTAAAAACTTTTATAAAATTCTTTCCTCAAAGGAAAATGTGCACAGTACAAAAAGCCAAATAGTGCCACAGGCTTTAACGTAAGTCTCCGGGCCTCGACTTCCTGGTCCCAGAAGCAGTCACTGTCATCTGCTGTCTCTCTGACCGCTGCATCTCGAATAGGTGTGTGGAGCACTTACAATCAGTGTTGGGAATTAGCTACTGATTTCCTATGAAATGATGAGTTTTGGCCTTTTATATTTTCCTGCTCCCCACCTTTCTGAAAGGGTTATCCTTTTTTCTCCCAAAAATCCATCTTGTGTTTTGTTATTCTGATTTTGTAGCTATTATTTATCTCTGAGGTAAGAAGTTTATGTTTCAGTTCTTACATGGCTTTTGTTTTTGTGGAGGTAACAGATCAGGGCAGTGGCTCATGGCCCCCAGCCCCTCGTGTCGGGGAGGGGTGGGGAGGGACACGTCACTCTCTTCTGCCCGGACCCAGACAGGCTGCAACTCAGCCTTCGCCTGTGTGGTTTGTGATACGAGCCAGCGTGTCGGGGCCATGGCAGAGCTGCTCTCCTCTCCACTCTTCCACTTAGTTTGCCTCAAGCATTTGACCGAGTTTCTATAAAAAGCTTCCCTGTGCACTTGCCATGTGGTCCGTGGTCTTCCTTGCATGCAGCCCTTCCTTCTGGAGGGTCTGTTGTGTACCTGCTGGCCACGTCGCCTGGGCCTTCCCTGGCATTGGTGACTCTTCCGTGTACACTTCATTCTCTGGGTTGGTCTTCTCTGTGCCTCTCCAGGGAAGTGAGTGGGCTCCATGGCCTCATGGGTGTGTCTTGGTTGCAGAGTGTGTGAACTGGAGGAGCTGGGGGAGCTATCTCCTTGCTGGGAGAGCCTCCGACGCCAGATCGTCACTCAGTACCAGACCATCATCCTCACGTACCAAGAGAATCTGACTGACCTTCATCAGTACAAAGGTGGGTACCAGGTTCCGTCTTCATCTCGGCATGCACTCTTTCCACTTGCACTCTCTCCCACCTACAAATCTGGAACCCAAAATCGCTCAGATATTCTTACTGACAGACACTAATGGATTTTTAAAAATAGATTCTCATGTAGGTGTGAATTCTTGAATATTTAGATTTTTCAGATCTTAATTAAGAAGACAAATCTGTGAATTGCATTGAAAATTCCTTCCAAGGTGTCATCTGCCAAAGCGACCGCTGTGAGGTGAACATTAGGAGAGACAAAGTTACAGGCTGCTGGTTCATGTTCTTCCTGCATCTGGGTCTGATGGCAGTGAGATGCCCAAAAGGATGTAGGCTGTTTGCCATCAGACAAAGCAGTTTTCTAGATTTCCCAGTTTACACATTCAGTGGTACTCGTGTCGAACATAAAAACTGAGTGGAACTCTTCATTTTAAGGCTCAAAAGGAGAATGAAGTCCAGACACCTCACCTTTTCTTGAAAGATGCTATTTGACTTCTAGAACACTCTAGGGAAGATTTAAAAGACTATTCTTATATAATTTTTTTGGCTTTTCATTATTTTATTCTCTATCTTTAGATTCTTCCTTCCTCCTCTTCATTATTGAAATTTCAGGGTTGAAAGAAAATCATAAGCCCTTAATGTAGTTTTGACACAGACTGTATGGACATATGAACTTGGCTGAGAAGAAGCCAGATGCAGGGATGATAAGATGATAGTGCCCCGGGTTTGCTCTGAACCTGAAGAACAGATCCAAGTGTATTTCTAAGAGAAATGGCAGCATTTGTCTGAAAGAACAAATCAGGGTCCTGCCCACATTGGATGCCTGTTACCTGGGAGAGTCTGACACCCACACAGCCTTGAGTTTTCTAGAATATAGCTTTTCAAATGTCACTGTGTCATATACCCAGAGAGTCTTATTAATGGCAGATAGGGGATTCTGAAGTTCTAACAGGCTCCCAGGCTGCTGGTATCTAGTGAACAACCTCTTGTGGTAAAATGTGGAATAGACAGTGGTTGTTCTGTATTTTGTGTACTGGCAAAATAAATTCGCCTTCCTTCACAAGCTGCAATGTTTATTTCTTCTACCCTTCTGATTGTCCATATAATTTACAGTCCCTTTCTTTTCTAGGCATGGAGTTCCTCACTTAATTAGTTATGGATTCTGACCACAGAAATGAGATTGTGGACATTTGTTACAAAACATCATCCAGCCTCCTTAACCACCCAAGCATATAGAAGAGAATATGTTTAAGTTTGTGTTAAATTACAAGGGACGTAATTAAAGCTGTCTCGCATCTGTTCATCTTGATAGAACTGGGGTGGTGAGCAGACCTTTTCAGCATTTTTCAGAATTGAGATGTGCTGCTTTGGCCACTCCTCTCAGTTCAGAGCTGAGTCGTGGGTAGTCACGGGTAGGCAGGCAGGCACTATCACCATTGCCTTCTGAAACGGCTTCTCCCTGGTGCCATTCACCACTTAAGCACCCGGAAGCAGCCTCCCAGCCATCCGCCTCCCCCTGCCCAGTGTTTCACCCAGCTGCTCTCTGGGAACGAGATGTACTCCTAGGCGACTCAGAATTGCCTCTGCCACAACCAGCACATCCCTGCCTTTTGAGCAGCACTGCAAACTATCCCTTTCTGCTTGCCATTCCTGAAGATGGGATACATGTTGGTGATCTTTGTTTTCTAATATTCTGTTTCTTAGGTCCCTCATTTAAAGCAAGCAGTTTGAAAGCAGATAAAAAGTTGGAATTTGTTCCCACAAACTTGCACATACAAAGGATGAGAGTTCAGGACGATGGTGGATCAGGTAACACTTTTTCTGCCCCTTTTGTTAAATCACATCACACTCCTGTTCTCCCCGTGTAGTTGGTCCCCGTGCTGCCCCACATCTGTCCCAGCCTTGCCTGTGTGCCCTGCTGGGCAGCTCAGATAAGAGACATATCATAGGACCTTTGTAAAATGTTCATTAAGGAGCACAAACCCCTTCCTCTTATTTCTCCTCCATCCAGCCTCCTTTGAGTTTCTGTGGCAGAAAGCTGCTCGTCAGTCATCCTTCTGAGGGAGGGATGTAGGCTGAGTATTGCCTCCAGCCCCATGTGGCTGCACCCTGGGATGTGCAGGGGCCCTCGGACAGCCCAGGCAGTGGGACTAAGGGAAGCACAGGTTGCTTGGGGCTGGGTAGAGGGTCAGGACCCAGAGCTGTGTGCACATCCCTGTAGCTGGCTCATCCACAGGCCCAAGCCCAGAGTAACGGAGGAGCGCTTTCTGTCATTCAGATCAGAGCTACGACATCGTCACCATTGGGGCGCCAGCAGCACACTGCCAAGGTTTTAAGTCAGGAGGCCTCCGCAAAAAGCTGCACAAATTTGAAGAGACCAAGAAACAGTAAGTTCTTTGAGGTGTTCATGGTCCTTGTACAGCTGTCTGATGCTTCCTAGGTTAAAAAAAATCAGAATATGACCAAAAAAACATCCAGCCATTCAGTCTGCTTTTGCGTGGTGAGAGAGGCTGCCTCACGGCCCCATGCTGCTCTGGTGTGTGTGACTGAGCTGGGTGGGTGAGGAGGCTGCCTGATCGGTACTCCCGCCCTGCAGAGCGAACTCTGCCTTGAAAGTGGTGCTCTTGGTGGCTGCCCTGTGTGCACTGCTGGCTTAGCTGTCCTTGAGAGTCCCTGGTCAGTCAGTTGAGTGTCCCAAAGTGTGCCCTCTGGGGGATACTGCTGTGGGTAAACAGTCCCAGTTTTAAAATAGGCTCAAGGGGCTGCCTGCATCTACCATGCTGAGCTGCCGGTGAGTGGGAAAGGGTGCTGCAGAGCACACAGTGAGGAGAGGCTGGAGGTACGGAGGCCTGGTGCTTCAGTGCTTTGTGGAGAGGAGCAAGGGAAGAGCCAGTCTCAGTATGGGGCTGTGTGCTGGTGCCAGGGTGCAGGCAGTCAGATCTAGGCCTGGCCCTGAGAAGCTCTGGGCATGGAGCAATCAGTGCTGTGCTTGGAAGCAAGCACAGAGGGTGTTGCAGAGCATGGAGTAGTGATGGGGGTGCTGGGGTGGGGAGAGTTGTAACTCCAAGCTGGTGAGTTGGACACGTGGGAGGTGATCTTCCAGAATGTCATCCGTCAAGATTTAAATAGATCAAGGGATGTGAGTGTAAGAAGTGGAGGTGGTGAGTATAGATGGTCCTGTAAAATCCTTGGACAGTGAAATAGAGGATGAAGGTCTCAGGTTTGGGGAGGATGATTATGATGTGAGCATGTATTTAGGCTGAAAGGAAAGGTAAAAGCAAATGAAGTAGATAGGAGAGAACATGAATGGAGCAGGTTCTGGAGAAGATGGAAAGAGGCAGGGCCAGGCAATTAAGGGACGTGAGAAGAAACTGAGGTTGCAGAGAAATTTTTGAGGTGGGAAGGAGCAAGCTGAAGGTTTAGTGGAATAATCTCGCAGAATGTGGAGCTGAAAGTTCACACTTATCACTGGGAATGGAACAGTTTGAGGGAAGGTGAAGCAAAGGCCTCAGGAATGTCAAGGGACTTGCACAGGGTGGTCAGAAAGAGAGCGTTAGGAGGTGCTGGAGCCAGGGCACCCTTGCCTGGCTCTCTGCGGCCATGGCTGGGAGTCAGGACATGACTGAAGCAAACTGACCTTGGACTGGACTGTGGATGGATGAAAGGTCAGGTGCAGTGGTCGGTCAGTGGGCTGAGGGGGTCAGGGGTGCAGCTAGGAGTGTCACTGACCATGGAGCCAAGGCTGGAGAGGGGACAGGTATGTGAAAGAGTGTGGTGTGAGGAGTCACCATTCAGATGTGAGCACAGGTTGCCCTGAGCAGGGAAGTCCTGGAGACAGGAGAAGGAGGAACAAGAGAGGGCCTGGTTGGAAAGGGGAGTTTCAGCCTTGGGTAGGGGAACATTCTCTGAGGGGCCCCCACACAGCCTGCTCCACCTTGATTCATCCCCACTAAGGGCTCTTTCCTGCTCAGACTAGCCAGGTGACCACATCTGCCTGGGGACTCACTGATGGGTGTTTCTCCGGACGTTGTGACAACTATGAGGCTTCCTGTCCCCATGACAATTCTGCACAGCCAGTGGAGATCATGTGTCTGTCATGCCATCGCATGTGGCTGTGTGGAGTGTGAGCGGGAGATCTGAGGGTGGCTTGGGGCCTTCAGGGAAAAGCCAATCAAGAGGGGTACCCGCCCTGGCTGTCTGGGTCAGAAAGGCTCGCAAACCGATGCCTGATCATTCTGTTAGCTTCAGAATTTCTTATCCCCAACAGGCCTTTGTGGTATTTTTGGAATATGTAATATGAATTTTTATTTAATTTCCTACTAATGTCATAAAACCCCTGGTAGAAATGGTTTTCATCATTGGAACTTTCCTTTCGGTGCAGCTGTACCTTGCCCACTGGCGGAATGTCTTCTCGGGCGTAAGCACAGGCCCTGGCATCACTGTAATGAATGAGCACATGGGACTCATGAGTAAATAGTCTTTCAAAAAGCGAATTCAAGTATTTTGACAAAAGATAACTTGGCTTTTTAATTTTTTGTTTTGCATTTGGTGTTTGCTAACAGATGCTAATATTTCATTTTGGTTCTTTTCTTTAGCAGTTTTGAGGAGTGTTGGTGAGTTTTCTGTCTGTGGAGAGAGTGTCTGTCTGGGTCTTGCTCTCATGCAGAGAAAGCCTGTGCTGTCCCCTCCCCTGAGAGGTGCTTCACCCTCGGTGCCACTGTGGGCTCCTTGTTAAAGCCTCGTAAACAGTTCTCCTTCCAACTGCAATGTTCTTTGATAATGAATAGCCAGTCTCCAGTCTGCTGCTGTGTCTTCACAGTCTGGTAGCCCTAAGTTGCTGCGCTCACTCCGAGTGCAGGCCTGGTGCTGTTTTTCCCAGGAGCGTGAGAGCCCAGGCCAGCAAGTCCCCCATGCGGGGATGTCAAGCCACTGATGTGCGGGGAGTCTCTTTCCGGCTCTTTCGTTAAGAATGTCAGGCTGTTTCAGTCTCCACTTCACCATCACCTCTTGTGACAGTAAAGCCAGTTCACATGTTCATGGTAGTTAACAGTTTATTCATATTTTTTAAAGTGTTACTGTTGTCAGTTTTACCAAGAATTACAATAACCAAGTGACTTTTTCCACCAAAGAGTAGATGGCAGCCAGAACCATCATGTCTGCTTCTTGGGGGTCCCACTGCTGCCGCAGGACCCCCAGTGGTGCCCAGCATGCTTGCCCTGGCCAGAATGGGGGCTTCACAGTGACATTTCTTTGGGTGACAGGCCCCAGAGGCATCTTCAGGCCTTTGGAATTGCTGCCCTCCTGGAGCTGCTGATGCTCAGGCTGTGGCCGGGCCCTGCCTGAGGCATCGGGCTCTGCTGGGCACATGGAACAGCAGGCAGTCCTGAGGAACACCCCTCCCAGCCCAGGGCCTCTTCACCTTCCCCATGTTTAGGACTAGCAGCTGGGCACACATGCTCGTACAGTCATGCTCACCCTGAACAGCAGCTCTGTGAGGTCTACTCATGTCCTTCCTGTGCAGAAGGCCCAGATTCCCATTATTAGGACATGAACTGAAGGACAGGGTGAGTGGGCTTGGTGCTTTTCTTGGGTGTGGGGGGTATGTGTTTGTTAAAGTATGCCTAGCCACGCACATACACACATGCACGTCTGCACGCAGCACACACATACACTACATGTACTCTCTAAGTATCAGGACCTGGGAGGAATAAATGCTTTTTCAATTCTATTTTGAGGTTGTATTTTTAAGACCAAATTGTCTTAAATAGGCAGCTATTCATTGGGAAGAGTGATTGCAGATTGGAAAGGCGTCATGTGCACATGGAGCTGTGGTTGACCCTTGTCAGACCACGCAGGCTCGAGCACAGTCTGCTGCATGGGCTGCTGGCAATCCGTCCTCTTTATTGTGGTGTGTGGGCTTGCGTGTGGTTTCTTTCCGGGGTGCTTTGGGTTTTGCTCTTTGCATGTTCAACCCTTATTTCATCCAGGGAAGGGGCAGGGTAGTTTCTTGGTGACTCGCCTTTGGGTTACCCTGGAAAGAGCCCATTGAGGGAGGTTCTCAGCCCTGCCCAAATCACCCCCATCTACAGGGAAAATGATGGAGGATTCAGCTCTCCACCTTCACTCTCTTCCCCCAAACTCAGAGGGCAGCTCTGAGGGAATCAGTTAGGGTCCCTTATTCCATGAAGCGTGGGACACCGACTCCAGCCAGAGCCCACGACTTCAAATTGTGGGGGAGACCTCTGCATTGGTGCCTTATCTTCCTCCTCCCCGCTCCCCTCTGCTTTCACACATGGTCTGAAAAATCAATTTATAATGTTGGGTTGATTTGGGATCTCAGCTGAGAGACATGCAATTTACTGTCTCCATTTGAAGGGCCAAACATGCCAGCCACATACAGCCGGGATTTTGAGCTGTTTCTCCAGAGGCTGGTCTTTATTTGTGCAAGGCAGTGACTGGGCTGTAGCACTGATCTCAGATCCCAGCTATACCTGCTGCTTGGTGTCCAGGAGGCAGGGAGGGAGAGAGAAGCAGGTTTCCAAAGCTCCTGGATTTGACAAGAGCCAGGTTTGAGGCATCCAGGCCCAACACTGGCTTGGTATGTCTCTACCTCCTCAACTGATGGAATGTTATTTTTTCAAAGTAGGGAAGTTCTGGAGTGGGCAGGGAGGGAAGGAAGGCCAATTTTCTGAGGATTTGCTGGGGTCAGACACAGGAGGGAGGTATGCGCAAGAAATTTGAAGAGCTGGGGACTTGTGCACGGGCAGGCCTAAAGGAAAAACGAAGGATCCTTTTGGCAAAGTCGAGCACTTATGAAAGTCTCCTTCACTGTGATAAACTGACCCCTTCTTGCATCGGCAGACCCCATGTCTCCACTTAGTCCTCCTTAGAATTTGACAGGTGAGGTTCTTAGGTGAAAAATTATGAGCATTTGGATAATTTCTGGATTTAATACCTACACACCAGGCCCTGGTTGGATAGCTCAGTTGGTTAGAATATCGGCCTGATAAGCCAAGGTTGTGTGTTTGATCTCCAGTCAGGGCACACACAAGAAGCAACCAGTGAAGACATAAATAAGTGGAACAACAAATCGATGTTTCGTTTTTTTATTTTCTCTCTCTCTCCCCGCTTCTTCTCTCTAAAATCAAGCAATAAAAAAGAAAACACCTGCGCATAAGGCACACATGCATGGTACAAAGACAATGCAGACAAATATAGACAGAAAGCTTAATTGTATGTTAATATTTCAAGCTTCTGTCACACAGGTAGAGATGATCTCCTGAGGTTTACTTTTGTGCACCATCCACCACCCAGTCCAGGAGAATGTTCCCAAGTAACAGTGCTTTATTTTGTGTTGGTCGTGGGCTGGGGTTGGGAGGGTGTTGCCGGCTTCATCGATTCAAGAGAACCCCTTAGGATCTGTTCCTACCCTTTTTAGTACATCATCCAGCTGCCAGTCCATTGTCTACATACCACAGGACATCATCAGAGCCAAGGAAATTATCGCCCAGATCAACACCCTGAAAACCCAAGTGAGTTACTACGCAGAGCGGCTCTCGAGGGCGGCCAAGGACAGGTCTGCCACTGGCCTCGAAAGGACACTCGCCATCTTGGCAGACAAGGTAGAAGGGGCTGCACTGCTGCGGTGGGTCAGGGCTCCCTTGGGTTTCTGGCATAGTGTGCCCAGAGCCATTCACACAAAGGGTGACGTTGAGATGGTCTTGAAGATCTGGCTTCAGATCTAGTTCCCACTAGGTCCAGGGGGTTGGTGATTTGCCCGTGGTCACAGACCTGGATAGGGGAGGCCAAGGACAGAGCCCAGGGCTGTGATGGCAGCTGCTGCTTCATGCAGAGGTGTCTCCCAGCAAGTGCCAGGGGGTCACTTACGCCTGGGCCAGTTCCACAGCTTTTTTAGTAACCACCTACTCAGAAAATTTTCGTCATGATTCTGTTGGACTTGGAGTTAAAAAAAGAAAGTGAATTATTGTACAGGTACAACATAAGAACAATAAAATATTACTGGCTTGGCTTATATAGAATCAGTAAATCAGCCTTTAGTTAATGGTAATTTGGTCCTGATTTAAAATATATAAATATACATCCAGACCCCAGGGGACATGGATACATCAGATCCTTTTGAAGGGTGTTTACAAATTACTCATCTCTCTGTCACTCACCGCCCCCACCCCACACACAGATTCTGATCACACTTCCCCAGTCACAAACGATGCTGGGATGAGATGCCATTCTTGAACAGAATGTGTTATATCCTTCACATGTGATCACCAGCAAAAAGATTGAGGGCCAGGGATTAGAGCCATTTGGAAAAGAAAGATGTCAGAAGTAACATGTTGAGCCACAGAGCCCCTGCTACTCACACAATTCCCCAGAAGTAGGATTGCTCTGCCAGGGGGCCTCTGCCCAGAGCCCAGGGCTCCGGGTATGAGATGTGAAAAGACATGCCTTCAGTGACCGAACCAGAGTAAGGCTGAGCCCTGGAATCAGAGGGGACAGCCCCGACGTCCTTAAAGGCCAGCACACCAGGCTCCCTTTAGGCCCTTCCTTGAGTGATGTCCTGCTCAGAGGCAGGCAGGGTCAAGGGCTGTCAGAGGTTTCTCAACCTCCCCTCGTCCTGTTTGTGTTCTCCAGTCTTCTATGGGAAATTCTGGCTGAGGTTCAGCCAGGCAGGTCATGAGGCAGCCTTTAAGCTTGGTGTCCTGCGGGCAGGAGCCCTTCTGTTGTTTGTGCTGTGGAGAGGGGCAGAGGGAGCAGTGCTGTGCTCAGGCCGGTTCCCAAGTTCTTAGAGAGGACGGGCCTTATAGCCCTCGGCCTGGGGCTCAGTGGCCTGGTGTGTGTGTCTGCAGACCCGGCAGCTGGTCACCGTCTGCGACTGCAAGTTGCTGGCCAACTCCATCCATGGGCTCAACGCAGCGCGGCCCGACTACATTGCCTCCAAGGCCTCCCCTACTTCAACCGAGGAGGAGCAGGTGATGCTCAGGAATGACCAGGACACCCTCATGGCCAGGTGGACAGGCAGGAACAGCCGGTCTTCTCTGCAGGTGGATTGGCATGAGGAGGAGTGGGTGAGTTTGCTGTCTGTGGCCCTCATGATGCTGCTGAGCTCAGGTTGAAAGTGTGAAACTTCCCACTAGTCTCTCCCCTCACAGGGGCCTAAAGGGTTGGTGCCTTTGCCGACAAGCTGAGCCTCCTCCCAGATGGATGATAGGTCACCTGATTTAGGGAGGGAGATAGTATTTTACCACCTGTGTCCATCTGAAGAGCAGGGCAGCTGCGGGCTGGCCATTCTTAGACCTGGTTGTAAAGGGGCAATTTCCTCCCTGGAGTTCTCACCAGCCTCCTTGCTCCCTCCACGAGGTCAGGTCACTCCCTGGGCTATTTGTATATTTGCAGATGCAGGAGCTCAGGTGCTGGGGCAGCAGGTGAGGATTTGGGAGACGCTGCCCCGACACTGCATCACGTTGTTGCTTCCCCACAGAGGTGTCCCTAAGAGCAGATCTGTGTCTCCTGAGGGGGGGACATACCATAGAACTTGTTTTGTCATTTGTCAGGACTATGTAGAAGCAGAGTCTTAAGGCAATGTACTACTCAGCAGCCAAGTGCTCCTCCAGCCCTGATCAGGCATCCGGTTCCCATCCCCCAGCCCCCTCTTACCACCTCCCCACCACCCCATCTGAAGTGATTGGTTGTTTCTATTCTTTTCCATCCAAAAGATACCTCAGTCCCCCCTGGTGTGATGTTCCAGGAGTTCTGCAGGGCTCACTGGGCCTTGTGACCCTTCTCTTAGCTCGGGAGGGTACTGGGAAATCCTAGCTGGCTTCCATGACAGTTACTCACAAACATCTCCCAAATTTTAAAACTAGCGACCCCAGGACACTGCTTTTCAAAGGATTGATTCATCCTTTGAAAGGCAAATACAACTTTAATGGTATTTGGGGAATTACAAATCCTGTTGATGTTTCTAAATCTTACAGTGTTTTAAAGTCTGGTGCTTGGGGGTGGGGGGTCCATGGAGGATGGTTTGGTTTGTGTTCTGTTCTGTCTTTCCCATTGGAGAGCTGACCCAAATGAGCTCTCTGATTGGAAGGAGAAAGTATGGCTGAATGTCGACAAGAGCCTGGAGTGCATCATTCAGCGGGTGGACAAGCTGCTGCAGAAGGAGCGCCTGCATGGAGAGGGCTGCGAGGACGCCTTCCCCTGTGCGGTTGGCGGGGCCAGCAAGAAAGGTAACCACGGCAGCCACGCCTACTGGATCAGACCAGAAGACCCCCTCTGTGACGCCCACTCCTCACCATGCCCCTCCACCGTGTCTGCTGCATGCCATCCTCAGCTGACCACATGTGCGTATCATCCACGCTTCTCACCTGCTCCTTCCATCTCACACTGCTTCTGTCTGGCTGTGTCTGCCCCCATGTCCTCCTCCCCCATGCAGACTGCAGGGTGGGCTGTTGGGCAGAGTGGCCATTGTAGTGCCTGGGGCAGTGGGCAGTGAGAGCAGAGGTGCCCGTAGGCTTCATGCCCACAGAGCCCGCCTGTGCACCTGTGTGTCTGGCAAAGGCAGGCTCTCGGCCCTCTTGGGTCACACTGCCACTGCAGGAAGGGTTGGACTCCTAGGCTTTTCTCGTTTATGAACTGAGAACCTGAAGGAGGCCAGAGAGCACATGCCTTTCTCATGAGGCTATTGATTGCACTAGAAACTGGTAGAATCAAGGACAAGGTGAATGGGGCAGGGACATAGCTGGAGGACAGCTGTTAGCAGGCCCCGCGAACTGGTCTGAAGGCTGGTTGTCATTGGTTGAGCATCCTCACCCAGCAGAGGCATGTTGCCTTGGGATGTGTTGGTAACTCAGTCTGGTGGTGGCACCAACTCGTGTGCTCCCGAGGGCTGAGTTAGGTTCTTCTGTTGTTCCTGCCTCTAGGGTGGGGCTCTCAGTGTGTGGTAGAACCTTGGCACAAAGCAACACGCTTCAGAAAGAGTCTTCTCTCTTTGGAGACACAGAGCATAACGAGATGCTCAGCCTTGCTTATAGCCTTAAGGCTGGTGACAGGGCTCCTCAGTCCCTGCCACTCAGGGCCTCCCACTTTTTCCTGCAATAGCTGGAGGGGAACTTGACTGCAGACTGACTGAGCTTCTGTTTCCTCTTTACTCTTCTTTGGGGTATTTAGCCACAGGCAGTAAGGCCCAGATGTGCCAGGGTTAGGCATCCTACAGCTGAGACTTTTATTTTTGGAACTGGGCAACTTTTATTCAAGTCAGGATCATGCTTCTTAATTCAGAGCCTCTAGGTAAATCTTTCTCCATTTGTAAGGTGCCCTTCACCTTCTTAATCTGCCTGCAGTCTGTCTCCAGGACACTGTTTCCCTTGAGCCTCTGTCTCAGCAGTGTTTATGTCCTCCACTCTTCCATTTGTCAGGGTTAGAGGTCAATTCCCCAAGCCTGTGATTGGTTCATGGAGCTATTTTGTCTCTGTTCATATTCTCATTTGTTAATGTAAATTGTGTTTCTTTTAAAAGTTTTTGTAGTTCATTGCTCATTTCTCTTTAACATTGTCATGCTTGCACTTTAAAATTTTTCTGCAGATATAAAAAGTAATTATTGATTTTTTTTAAATGCAGGAAATAGTTTATTTAATCAGATAGACTGTTATATCCATAACTCAAATGTCATTTTTCTCTAGGTACATTCTGTATTATCCAAATATAGACATATTTATGCAGTTTTAAAGTTATTTAAATGAGCACTGATTTATGACTTGTACCATTTAGGGTCTGACGTGCAACTGTGTGTGCCACACAAATGAGCTATGTTGTGAAGGTGGGAATAGGAGGCACGCATCGAGAGAGTCCGACTCTGCTGCTCAGCACTCACAGAAATGCATGAAGCCTTATGCCACCGAGTTAACTGCACACAACCCTTAGCTCAGAAACCTTGCACATTGCCAGGACTCTGTTCAGAACTCAGCATGCCCAGGAGGATCAGAAAGAACCAGACTGTGAGCCATGGATCTTACTCAGCCTCTGGTCCTCAAGGGCCAGAGCTGGGCCCTGTCAGACCACGCCCTGTTTCTGGAGCAGGCATTTGGCCTAATAAGCAGGTTGTGTTCACGCCCACATATTTATTACATACAAACAATTCTCTGCCTCTTTGAAAGTCCTTATTACTTTTTGTTCCAAATCTCTGCCCATCCTGGGTCCTCATTTTCATCATTTGCTACGGAGCTGACCCGCCGCTTAGCTCACTGTCCGGCAGACTTGATCCAGAGCTTTGCCTGGCGGGTGGCGCTCACTCAGGGCCAGGGCTCCTTGGGATCCCTTGGGATCCCTCCTTGGAGGCCCTGTAAGCCTCTCTGTCCTCCTCATTTTCCCCACAAGTGCCCACACCCTTTTCTCAGCCTGCACCCCACTTCCCGCACCAGGATTTGTGGCTTCCATTACCTTCCATGCACACACTCTCTTGCTCTCCTCATCCTTGAAGGGTCATTCAGCCAGGACCAGGTTGTCCTGAAGCTGAAGACTGTGGGTTGCACCCAGGTTTGTGTGTGCTGAGATTAGGTGCAAAAATGAAAGTTCATAGTGGTTACAGAATCTCAAGGTACTCCCTTGACCTAAGACACAAGCAATTGGTCCAGGAGTACCCCCAGGGGACCACTCCTGCTCCCCTTTGATTGGAAGATGAGTTTACCCAGCAGCTTTAACCCTAAGCCTTCTCAGGAATTGTCCCAACCCAGCTGTCTGGGATTACCATGGAAGATCATAAAAATAGGCTCCCAGACTCTTGTAAAAGGCAGAAATCTGTTTGTTTTCAAGGCCTGGGGTAATTCCCATGAGTCAGACAGGTGTATCAGAGTCTCTGTTCCACATCTCCATGCCACAGGGGTCACTCTCTCCTGGGTAATGAGCTCTAATGACAAGGTGGAAGTCTGCAGCTCACAGAGGCCCACAATTATGCTCTATTTCTGTCCCCTTTGCCAGGATGACTGGAAGGGAAGGATCCCTTGCCACCCACTTTCGGACAGCTCCACAGGTTGTGAAAGTCTCTGGTCCTGGCTATTCTTGGGGATCTGAAACTACCTATTTCAACATCCTGAAAACATTCTTTGAACCAAAAAGTTTAGACAGCAAAATAAAATAAGCTCTTACTGCAAATGATCCATTTTCAAACTTGTTTTCTTTCAGGTGGCACACCCAGTTAACCATGAGATTTAGAATTTATAAAGGAAATGTAAAATCAAAATGAGTACTTCCCAATGTGACTCAATGTAGGTGAAACCAAATTAAAATTGGTATTCCAGGGATCTGGAGGGACATTCTAATTCTAGGCTTCCCCCTGATCATAAAGGTTCTACATTTGGCTTAAATTTGGAAGAGTGGCATAGATGTTTCTGGCATACTGGCTTCATCACTGGATCCTACCTTTGGGTCTCAGCAGGCAGGTGTAGCCCGGGTTCCACTGGTCAGCAGAACAGTGGGAACCTCCAGGGACCGGTCAGGCTCTCTCATTTCAAGTTGGCTTCCAGTGTTGTGAGCCAACACGGGACTCCATCACGTGCAATGTGATGGACGTGGGCCCTTCGTCACATTGCAATGTGTTAGAGTGCTCACCATGGAAGAGCACTGTATGTTGACATATTAGCAACATGAATGTGCACGCTTGTGAATTGAGCCATGTTTACTACCAAAGGGGCTCAGCTGCCTCGGAGCAGCCAGAGCACGACTGCGACTTGTCAGGGAAGAGGTGGGCCGGCCCCACCTCTTCTCTGTTCAGGTTAGCCACCTGACTGCAAGCTGGTGAAGCAGTTGCTCTAAGCATTGAGTTGCTGGTGCTTGAACTGTGTGCTGCTCCTTAATCATCCATGTTGCCCTCCGTTTCTGTGCAGATTGCAGCCCCCCTCCTGAAGAGTCCAGCCCAGGTACGTGGTTCTTGCTTAAGGCGTCTGCAGATGTCTTTTTAATACACAGCTAGCATTTGTAGCTATATTATCAGGTTACCTGGTGCTCCCAGAGTTAGAAAATAGTTTTAGGGGTTTCTTCATTGTGAGGCATGCTTTTCTGAGTTTAACGAGAGACCAGTTGATCTGGGGACTGTGGCCTGAAGCAGGCCTCCACGTGTGTTTCTTCCACTCATCCACCCTAAAACCTTTCCAGATGAGTAAGTCCATGAGTGCATTGGGATTCCTGAAGCAGTGACCTGATTTAGAGAGGTACACAATTGTAAAGGGTACTACCTTTGATTTCACCTGGACTGAGGAGCATCACATGGAGGGAATGGTTGGATAATAGATAGCCACCCAAATGTTGACACTCGTGATCACACAGCAGCCTCTTTTCCGAGTCTGGGTGCAGCTTTAGACGTCAGGCGTTGCTGTGGGTTGCAGTCAGCACTGGAGATGGGGTTTTTGCTACATTTGCATGTAGAAATTAAGGTTTATGGCTCTCGTACAGGGGGCAGCAAACCACATCTCTGAGCCATCCTGCCAGGCACCTGCTTTTGTAAATAATGTTTTCCTGGAAACCAGTCATGCTTGTGCATTCACATACTGTCTCTGGCTGCTTTTGCAGTGTCAGAGACCGGTAGTTGCTGTGGAGACCCCATGACCTTCAAAGCCTAAAATATTTACTCTCCAGCCCTTGACAGAAAAAGTGTGCCAACCTCTGCTCTAGTTCATATTGAGTTTCCCAGATGTAGCCTGTAGGTTTCCTCACAGTGAGTGTGAGGCCCCAAATAATGTGTTATTTTCTTATGCTCTGAAAACGGTTGTGTGATTTGTCTGATGACCACACATTCCCGACTGGATGTGAATGTGAGCTAGCAGGACACCGGCTCTGTGTCTACAGGGCAGCAAACAGGCACTTGTGGGATTTCCTAGATTGTCTGTCAGGTGTTAGCAAGGCCTCTCAGCTCGCAGCAGCACCAAGTTCCAGCTCAGCCACTGGGGGGTCACTGCTTGCTACAACCCCAGAACCCCATTGGTGTGAGCTCGTTAGTGGGCTCATCTGATTGGGTTCATCATCCCCCACCCCAAATTTGCTTTCAGCCCCTTTACAGTTTTTCTTTCCCCAAAAAGTCAGTGTGGGGCGCCCCCACCCCAAACCTCTGGACCCCCAGGGCCACCTAAGTCTTGGTAGACACACAGGTAACTACTTGGTCCCTGCCCCCCGATTGCCATTCCTGGCCTGTACCCTCTCCTTCTCCCTCATCTCTGTCTCTGTGCTTCCAGCCCTCAGCTCACCTCCACGGCTGGTCTGTGCCTTCTTGCTGTGCTGGTTTTCCTGGAGCCTGTGTGGTCCAGACCACACTTAGCTGCCAGGACTAGGAAAGGGGTGGCAGCATCATGAACCCACACCCTGGAGGCTCAGGGTTCCCTCCTCAACACAACGTCCTGAAGTTTATAGAACTGAAGTGGAGACTAATGGGTTCCCAGGCGGGCAGCGCACAGGCCGTGCCTGGCCGGTCGGACTCTCCTGGCTTGTGTCAGCCGTGTCCTCTCTAGCAATGCTGGTGGGGTGTCCACAGCTGATATCAAACGGACTAACATGGTCCCCTGCCAGGAATTCCTTTGACTTTCTCTGCAGAACCTTATTGAGTCTGGATTTTCTCTCTCTCTCTCTCATACACACACACACACACACACACACACACTCTCTCTCTCTCTCTCACTCACACTCGTTCTCTTTCTCTTTTAATCTCCTTCCATCCTTCCTTCCCCTATTAATAAGGAACAAATGCAAAAGTATGGTTCATGGATTGGCTACCAACCAGCAAATGTTACAGGTTAGCAACAAGATAAGGAGCTTGCCCCAAACAATGTGCTGGCTGCATCACTAAGGGCATTGTTAGTTGCTGCTATTTTTCTTTCATAGCAAGACTTTCTTGGTGAAGGAGGCAGAGTAAATAACCCCTTCACCAACCCTAACATTCCAGATACCTTTACTAAACTACAGGTCCTGGGTAGACGTCTTGTTACTGTCCCTGAAATTCATTTTGTTTGGAAGTTTTACATTTTAATTTCTCCTCATATTGACCCAAAATGTATTACCCCCAACCCCTACTCTGAAGCAGTGTCACATCACAGAAATCCTCACGGACAAGTGGCCAGTCTTCCAGCATGTCTTCCTTAGCCGTGCCCAGCCTGTTTCCTTACCTGTGTCAGTGGCTTAAGGGAGGAAATGGTTAAACAGTGAAGCACTCAGTAGGGTGGTGATTCACGCTCAGCCTGAGCCCCTCTCTGTGCTAATGGCACACCATCACCACCCAGGTCCTCATGCCCTGTCCTCCAGGACAAACGCTTAGTGCTTTCTAACCATTCTTTCTGTACTCCCAACTGTGTGTGTGTGTGTGTGTGTGTGTGTGTGTGTGTGTGTGTGTGTTTAATGTAGGAAAACTGAGTCATTCTTCTGTGGCTTTTCTTTGAAGAAGTAAGCAAAGTCAAAAGCCACTATGTGGAGAGGGCCTGCTCAGTCAGATAGGACCACTCCTGTGTTTTGAGCATTTTCAGGTTAAAAGGATAATTGTCATGTTAATTGCACATGAATATGCACATTAAGTGGAAAAGAAAGTAATTGCTCTAAGAGCATTTACTTCGTGAATTGTCTTTATGACTATTTGGCTACTAAAACTTAGCTACCATTGGCCTTCGTTAATAGTTGCTGAATGTGGTTGACATGCATTCAGCAGGGGTCTTCAAAGGAACAAAAACATGGTCTCTGAGATTTTTAGGTAAAGAAAGAGACTTGGATATTATTTAGTAGGACTCTCCTGTTTTGTCAAGGACCTGCCCACGGCCTACCACGCCCGCAGTGGCACCAGGGCCCAGGACTCACACTTTCCATGCTTTGGTCCAGGGTTCTTTGTCACTGTGATTTATTTGCTAAGACCTTTCTGCTGTAGACGTTCTAAATTTAAGCCGGCTTTTTCCCATTACACATATAAATCCTTGTCCACATACAGTGTGCCGACATATACAGTTAGGTCATTGCCACATTTTGAATAGCTACATATACTTCAAAAATCTACATTCACCAAACAGTCTGGGGAAGTCCTTGTGCAGGTTTTAGGCATGTCTCTAAATTTGCTTTTCAGTGAAGCGCTAAACACCCAGAGAGCAGAGCCAGCTTGCGCTTCCTGCTGTGTGTATCTAAGACAGAGCTTACCCTTCCTGCAGATGGATGCTCTGCTCACACGGCCCCAGGGCCTTCCTGAGTGCGGTGGCATTTGTGGGCATTCTGTGGCTGACACCTCATGCTCAGAGGCATCTGCTGGCCAGGTTCCACTCCACTGCCTCTGCCACATTTGGTGTGGTGGGTGCGCCCAGTGGTGATGACCAAATGACTATTTCTGGGTTGGGTGACCTGTTAAAAATATAACTGATGAGAGCATGTCTTCTCCCTTTAAATGTCTTCTAAATAGGAAGGGAAAAAAGAGCCAAAGCCAAAAATACCTTTCACTCTATTTTTCTCCTTTGCGGTTCTCTTTCTACAAAGTTGTTTTGGTACAGGGTCAAAGCTTCCTTATTTTCCTAAAAAAAGAAATCTAGGCTAGAAATAGATGGCAGGTGGGCAGGGCCGCGGGTGGGGGAGAGAGTGAGTGCGGGAGGAAGGGACGTTGGGAGCTGCAAACACGGGAAACCGCTGTGGGACAGTCTTTCTCCCAGACGTGCACAGGGAAACTCAGCCCTGGCACACAAAGGCTGGACACGGATAGAGGTGTCCTTTGCTCTGCAAAGACAGGGGTCTTCCTCAATACCTACATCAAGAGAAGCAAGGCAACAGGTCACTTTCCTGGGTGCCTTTATCCTCGGGTGGGGGACCATTGGTACTGTCAAAGGGGCTTGGCCTCTGCAGACAGAGTAATTTTCTTCATTAGTCATGACTTGAAGTTCGTTGTTGTTTTTTTCTGTTTCCCTCAAAAGGAACAGTCTTGAGTACTTACATGCTGAGTTCTCATAGGTTTGGGTGACCAGGCATGTGTCAGGGTCCCAGAAATAACATTTGAGTTGAACAGAAAGCTTCAGGCTGGAAGGTTAGAGACTGGATTGTGTCCAGGCAGAACTTGGCACCATTTGGGGCCAGATTATGGGCCAGGCAGAGTTAGAAGATGCAGAAGGGGTGGGGGTGGGACTGAGACTGGGAGTGGGAGAGCAAGGTGGGTGAGAGAAGGGCACCTTGTTAGTCTTCCAGAACCTCGTTCTTCAATCTTCTGAAACACTGTCTTGCACCCTCGCCCCCTGTACTCAGGTGAATGGAGTGAGGCCCTTTACCCACTGCTGACCACGCTCACCGACTGCGTGGCCATGATGAGCGACAAGGCCAAGAAGGCAATGGTCTTCCTGCTCATGCAGGACAGCGCACCCACCATAGCCACCTACCTGAGCCTGCAGCACCGCCGCGACGTGGTCTTCTGCCAAACCGTAGGTCCCAGCACCTCCCCCCCAGAAAACAGGCACAGGAAGCCATTCCCCCTCCTGCACTTTGGAGAAACCACAGATGGCAACGTGTTCTTCTCCCTGTGGCTTTTACATTTATTTGACATGGAGCGCAAGATTTTGACGCAGAGGGAGGAACCTACTCAGTTGTCTGTGTTGAGAAGCGGGTCTGATTCCACACTGGCTTCTCCCTCCCAGCAGGCACTGGGAATGCACATGCCTGTCCCTCCTGCCCCCGGGACGTGGTGGTGCTGCCAGTGGCTCAGTCCTCTTTGCTACCTTTTTTCCCCTTACAAGTGATATTAGTGAGGGAGACACGGCTTTTCACTATCAGTTCCATCTGTTTTCTTGTTTATAAAACAGCAGTGTTTAGTTCTGCAGCTGTGTATAATTCTGTTTTAGTGATTTCTGTTATCCTCAGGGAACAGAAGAACTTAAATGAATGGCACAGGTTTCACAGATGCCAGTCATCAATTTAGCCAAGGGAATGGCCGTAGAGGGTTGGGCTGGCTTTCTGTGTATGCTTCCCCACTCACATGAGGCCTGTTTCATCCCGTGGAAAATCTCCCACTGAGAAGAAGGGCAGAGTGACTGTGTCCTCTCTCACTTCTGTTCCTTGTTGTGGTCACCTCAGGTTCCAGCCAGAGCTGGTATGGAACTGTGAGTATATAGACCCTTTCACTGAGGGGAATTCATTTGGCTTCCAGAAGGTTCTAGCCCAGGAGTAAATGCAGGGAGGTCAGGTCAGAGGCTGAGCCAAAACCAAAGTTACCTTTGGGAGCAACAGAGAAGCAAGCCTGGAACTCGGCACACCCTCCCTGGGGTCCCAAGAGCCAGGCGCTTCCCACCCCCAGGCCCCACGGCAGAGGAGTCCTGCTGAACCTCCACTGGAATGAGGAAGTAGAGGAGCTGGGGCCAGGGCAGCTGCCACTGGGTGAGGAGGTGTCTGTCCCCACAGCTGACCGCTCTCATCTGTGGCTTCATCATCAAGCTGAGGAACTGCCTGCATGACGACGGCTTCCTGCGGCAGCTCTACACCATCGGGCTGCTCGCCCAATTTGAGAGCCTGCTGAGCACCTATGGTGAGACCCTGGGCTCGCGCCCCTGCGCCCCTGTGATCCAGGGGTTCGTGCGAGCGTGCACATGTGTGACCCCATGCTTTCTTCCTAAACGTTTTTCTGATTAAACAAATAACACATGCTGATTCAAATATATCCAACATCACCAAAATATGTAACAAAGAACCAGATGAGAGTCCTGTATAATTACCCCCACCCATTTGTTTTGTGGTTTTTGTTACATATCTAAGGATCTTCCCAGTTGACGAAGGATGATTATTCTTATGCTCCAACTTCCTGCAGGATGTCTGGGTCCTTTCTGAGCTCCTCTGGTGAAAATAGGGTCGGGGTGTGTGTGTCACTGCACGTGGTCTGTGGCCCTGTGGTCCCATTTCTGTAGCCACTGAGTTATAGAGGGAAAGTTGCTGTGCCAAATGGTAGAAATATTTTTAAATTTCATAGATATTTCCAAATTGCTTTCTAGAAAGGCTCTTTCCACCCTACCTTCATTTTTATTTATTTCTTCTGAGAATGTAAAAATAAACAATTTTTAAAGTATTTGTTAATTTTTAGAATTATAAGGCATCTAATAAATATCAAGCTGTGTGCAGTGGAAGGATCTGGCCACAATACTGTCTTTGGCCACTTCTGAAGAGCCAGCTCTGCCCTCTGAGGCTCCATACCTACCTGTCTCCCTCCCCACACTGTCCTTCCTCAGGAAAGGGCCGGGCAGTGTGGGCTATGTTTCTACCAGCTGCATTTTTTTTTTTAAGAATGCCTAGAAGAGATCTTTTATTTTTTTATTTTTTTAAAGATTTTATTTATTTATTTTCAGAGAGGGAAGGGAGGGAGAAAGAGAGAGAGAGAGAGAAACATCAATGTGTGGTCATGTGTGGTTGCTGGGGGTCATGGCCTGCAACCCAGGCATGTACCCTGACTGGGAATCGAACCTGCAACACTTTGGTTTGCAGCCCGCGCTCAACCACTGAGCTACGCCAGCCAGGGCAACCCGCTGCATTTTTAACATGATTGTGGGATTCATAGCAGCATTTACTCAAAGAGAAGCGAGTTGCCCAATAAGAGGCTTAGAAAGGCCCCTGCCCACACTCTCCCCACCGCTCATCACAGCCACACCTAACTGTGCTGCCTTTCCTTCATGCCCCACCCTATGACCAGGCTGAGTTCATGGGGAGAGTTGCAGGGCCCCTCCATCTAACAGCCCCCCTTCCCTCTTTTGCATCCAGGTGAGGAGCTGGCCATGCTGGAAGACATGAGCCTTGGAATTATGGACTTGAGGAATGTGACCTTCAAAGTCACTCAGGCCACTTCCAGTGCATCAACTGACATGCTGCCCGTCATCACAGGAAATCGGTAGAAGTATTTTATTAAATTCTCAGAACTAGCAGTGTCTTAATTTATGTTTATTACCTGCCATGCACTCTTTTTATTAAATTTTTAATTTTTTAATTACAGTTGACATACATTATTATATAGTTTCAGGTATATACCACAGTGATTAGATATTATATAAGTGATCATCCCAATAAATCTCGCACCCATCTGACACTATACATAGTTATTAGACTATTATTGGCTATATTCGCTATGCTGTACTTCACAGTCCCACGATTATTCCGTAACTACCAAATTGTGCTTCTTAATTCCTTCACCTTTTTCACCCATTCTCCCACCCCTCTCCCATCTGGCTGCCGTCAGAATGTTCTGTCTCTAAGCCTGATTCTGCTTGGCTTGTTTATTTTGTTTCTCTAGATTCAATCATTGATAGATATGTACCAACTGTCATTTTATTCATATTTTTAATCTTATTTTCTTCTTCTTAAAGAAGACCCTTTAACATTTCATGTAATATTAGTTTGGCGGTGGTGAATTCCTTTAACTTTTTCTTGTCTGGGAAGCTCTTTATCTGTCCTTCCATTCTAAATGATAGTTCTGCTGGGTTGGTTGTAGGTCCTTGCCTTTCACCACTTTGAATATTTCTTGCCAGTCTCTCTGGTCTGCAAAGTTTCTGTTCAGAAATCAGCTGATAGTCTTATGGGAGCTCCCTCGTGTTTTTTACTTCATATATTCCAAATTGCTAATTTGATTCTCAGCTTCATCTACTCTACTGTTGACTCTCTGTAAACTAGTCTTCATTTCAGTTAGTGTAGCCTTCACTTCTGACTGGTCCTTTTTTAGTCTGTTGAGGTCCTCACTAAGTCCGTGATCATCCTTATAACCAGAGTTTTGAACTCTGTATTTAGTAGATTGCTTGTCTCCATTTCGTTTAGCTCTTTTTCTGGAGTTTTGTTCTGTTCTTTCATTTGGGACATTTCTTTGTCTCCTCATTTTGACAGCCTCCCTGTTTGTTTCTATGTACTAAGTAGAGCTTCTATGTCTTCTAGGCTTGGTAGAGTGGCCTTAGTGTACTAGGTATTCTGTAGGGTCCAGTGGCACAGCCTCCCTGATCACCCAAGCTGGGCACTTGAGGTGTACCCACCATGTGGGCTGCATACACCCTCCTCTTGTAGCTGAGTCTTGATTACTGTTGGCACGTCAATGGGAGAGATTTACCTCCAGGCCGATCATCAGCAAGGACTGACCATGACCACTGACTACTGCCCTCTGACCACCATGGAGGATCAGCTGTGAAGGGGGCCCACTCCACAGAGCAGAACTTACTTTACTGGGGCTCTGGTGCCTGCTGAGTCCACCCTTTGAATGTACTGTTTGTGGAGATGGTTGGATGGTGGTGCTTCAATGTGGTCTGAAGCCTTCTGGGAGATGCAGGCCAAGGGCATCTGCCTCCTGTGTTCTGCCCAGGGCCAACCAACATGAGCTTCAAAGCGATACACAGACAGCTGCTATATGTGCTGGGCTTGGAGGTGCCCAGGCGAGGCCAAACTGTGAACTAAGGCTGGCTGCTGCTGGTGCCAGGGCTGGGACCACTTGGTGAGAGGTATGGGGCATGCTGAGGCCAGATGCTGCTTGTTTGAGAGATTTTAGGAAAATCTGAAGCATGAGCCGAGACAGGCCATTGGTATAGATAAGCCTGGAAATGGCTTGGGTGGGCCTGAAAGTTGGGTGCGGCGGGGCCTCAGAGAATCACCAGGGTAAGGTTAACAGTGTGAGCCAGGTTGAGGGAGTCTCAGATATGACATCTGCCTGGCTGTTCTTTAGGGTAAGGGCTTAGAAAGGAAACACTGATCTCTGCCAACTGTTCTGTCTGGGAGAAAGCTGCCCCCCAGCTCTTGCCCTGATGGCAGACAATTTAGTTCCTCCCCATATGTCTCTGGTGCCTTTCAAGCTGCTGTCTCAGTGCTGGTGCTCAGAGGGAGTGAGTCCGAGTAAGCCCATGTAGGGGCCCTTTAAGAGGAACTTCTCGGGCTCCAGCTGCTGTTTGTCTCCCTCAGCCTAAATCTCCACTAGGTTTTATAGCCAGAAGTTATGGAGCCTTCTCTTCCTGGCACTGGAATCCTGGGCTGGGGGGTCTGGTTGGGGTTGGAACCTCTTACTCCTTAGGGGGGACCTCCACAGCCAAGATAATCCCTCACAATTTTTATTCTACACATGTGGATATGGGACCAGTCCATTACATGTTTGTGCCCCTGCTACTGTTACCAAACAAAAATCCCCGGAGACTTGTCTGTCTGTGGCCACAGGAGCCAGACTTGTGAGGCAGATGCTGGGGTAAAAGGAAAGAGGTTTTATTCAGGTGTTGCATCATTTGGGAGAATGGTGAACTCCTGTCTCAAAGCTCATCTCCTCTGCAAGAGCAAGCCAGTGTCCAGAGTTCCTGCTTCATTATAAAGTACTGTTCTTTGGAGCCCACAGGTGACTGCTAAGTGATCATCTAAGCTTAGCTTTTTCCCAGCTACAGTCCATTTCAGGGTTCCCCCTGGAAGTTGTGTGTGGAGCCTTTGTGGCCATGGGCCACGTGGCTGCCATGGTCACAAAGTCGTGTGAACGTACTAGCCGGTGTGTCACCAGGTGGGCAAGAGACTGAGAGAGAGGCTTCCTCTTGAAGGCCATGGGCCCCAGGGCTGCTAAGGCCTCGTGGCCCATGGAGAGAATAGGTGAGTCTGCCATCCAAGTGCAGATCACAAGCCAGGAAGCCAGAGAAAAGAGAGCAAGTTTCCTGTTCCTCTGGGGCTATGTTAGTTTGAGTGTGGGATGGACCAGGGGCATTCACAGCCTTTGGGTGGGTCCATCTCCCCACCAGCCTCTTCTTTCCCCAGGCTAGACTGGCAGGCCTCTTCGGTCCAGCACTGCCCCCGCTGCCATTTTTGACTCCTATGCCTGCCTTCCCCGAGTCGCACCTCCAGTCCGGTACTAGGAGTGTGGGGAGGTCTTTCTCCTCTGTCCAAGTATCTTGTTAGCCTTGCATGTGCTCAGTGCAGGAACCTCCCCCTGCCACCATCTTGGTCAATGGAGAGACTTTCCTGACCCATCAGCTCCACGCCCCCTACACCCTAGTCCCCACAGGCAGCGAGTTGCCCTCACTCAGAGCCCACTGACAGCACCGAACTGTAAGCCTAAGCAAAGGACCCCTGGAAACCCCACACAGCCTCTCATGCAGCAGTAAGGGCAACTTCAGTGGGAGGGGTGGGATGTCTGCTCCAGGGGTGGAGTGTTTACAAGGCTTGCACTCAGTTAATTGGGCAGCACAGCATTATGCCCCATGGAAGTGCAACCTGGCACTGCATGCACTGCACTGAGAAATTCAATGTCCTCACTATTACACTGGCCGTTTGTATAGGTATTCTTTGACCAGCTGCATGTCCTCAGTACTCAAACCTCTGACTTCTGTCCCTAAGGAGTGCGGCTTGATGCACAAGTGGCTCCCAGGTCCCATTCCCATGGCCTAGCTAGCTCTATCCCTTTGGCAGCCCCTCCTGTTCCCCACCCTCAGCCTGCTCCCAGCGCTGTTACAGACCAGAGCCTCCTCATTGGTCCAGACAGGCTGTCTACCGGTAACACTACTGGTCTTGAAGTGGCTTCTTCTTTAATTCCCTAGCTGTAGGACCTCCATTCAGCCAGACTTCAGGTGGTTTTAAATAATGGTTGTTCTGTAGTTTAGTTGTAAAGATGTGTTTGGAGGAGGAGGTGAGTACTGCATTTTCCTCACTGACATCTTGACCAGAAGTTACTACCATGCACTGTTCATTTTTGTTTTATTGTTTCTTTCAGTTAAAACTGCTGATCACAGCCCTCTGCATTAATTTTACCCTTTAAAAGTCACACCCAGCAGTTTGGAAATCACTGAGCCAGATGGCCAGCCCACACCCCATGTTGAAGGGAGCTGGTTTGCCTCTTCTTACAGGCCTCCTCTCCTACCACCTCATCACAAGCCTAACCCCTCCTCGTCCTCTCTCCTGCTTCTTAGGGACGGGTTTAATGTGCGGATCCCTCTGCCGGGCCCCCTGTTTGACGCCCTGCCTCGGGAGATCCAGAGCGGCATGCTGCTCCGGGTGCAGCCCGTCCTCTTCAACGTGGGCATCAATGAGCAACAGACACTGGCTGAGAGGTGTGTGCTTGGTTGTCAAGGGGACCGGAGTAGCTGGGATGGTCAATGAGATGATGTAGAAAGTGTACTTACCCCTCCTCAGCTCTGAGTGCTGGGTGGACTTTGTCATCCCTCCCTTCCTTTAGCCAACAGTCTTCAAGTGCAGCCATATACCCAGCTTTGTGTTTGGTGGTGGGGACATGCAATGAACCAGACATGGCCCGTGTCCTCAAGAGACTTGGGCTGGTAGGAAAGAGGTGTGGGTGCAAGGATGAAAATAATGCAGGGAGTAGGGGCCCTAACAAGGTCTGAGAGGGGCTATGAGAGCTTTCCTGTAGAGGGCTATCACTGAAGTGGGATTTGAAGAGTAAGTAGGAATTGGTCAGATGAGGAGATAAAGGAGGCACCTGGTGTCCCAGACCAAGAACCCTGAGCGAAGACAGGCAGGGGCAGACTGCCTGAGGGCCAGAGGCCGGCCCCAGGCAGGATGGGCAGTAGCGAGGTTAGGCCTGTGTGCAGGGTTGAGAGCCACACCTTCATCCTAAAGGCTTATGGCTTGTGAACTCCCTCCAAGATTGCCTGCTAGACAGCAGGAAGGAGTCATTGTGCAAGTGTGTGTGTGCACATGTACTGAATATGTGTTGCAGAGGAGGAATGGGTTGGGTGCATGTAACCCGCAATGCCCTTTATTACTAGTACATGAAGATCTTTCTGACTTCACATTATATTCATGTGCTGTGTGTGCTTTAAAATAGATCTCTTTCTGTTAAGAATATTTGATCTCCAGGATAATAGGCTATATTCCTACTAGGCTTTTAAACCCAATGGATGTTGACCCCTAGGTGTAGGGTCATCCCACTTAGCAAATGTGGTGGGAGATATGGGAGAGCTGTTACCAGGGCAGGACATGGTCAGGTTTAGTAGATTGCTTGCTGGCTGTGTCCTGAATGATGTTAGGGCACAGTGTGCTGAGGAGGTTATTGGAAAGAGTCCAGCCAGAGTCAGACAGGGGCCATGTGGGTGGCAAGCGATTTCAGCAGTGAAATTGAAGGCTAGGTCTTCAGTTGGGCAGGTGTGAGAGAGAGAGAGAGAAAGAGACAGTGAGGAGAATGACAGCCAGGTTTCTAGATTGGTAATGGGAGTTGGGGGCACTCAGCTCGGGAGCCAGGAGCTCATGCTCTGGGCAGATGGAGGAGCCCACTTCAGGGAGAGTGAGTGTGTTGGGGCCAGGCAGGGAGCTTGTCCCAGGGAGGAGAACTCCGTGTGCTGCGAATGTAGCTCCCATTCCTGGTGACTCTGGAGAGCAGTTTTGGGAAGGGCTGAGGCAGTGTCCCATCGCAGTGAGCGGAGGTGGCAGGTGGAGGAGGATGAGTTGGTGGGGTGAGTGCAGGGCTTTTGCTTTGCTCCTGGGACACGCACTCTGCAACTCATGAACAAGCGCAGCTGCCATGCCCCGGGGTGGTCCCCAAGGCAGCAGGTACCTAGAGAAAAAGCCATGTGGTCCTCAGAGATGGACAGGCTGTGGTAGATGCACAGGAAGGGGTCCTCCCCTTTAAGCAAGGACATGGGGCCACAAAGAGGCTGCTGTGTAGGGAGATCACACAGCAGGGAGAGGTAGAGCTGGACTGCGCACCCAGCCTTGAGGCCAGTGCGGAGCCTGCATATTTTTGTGACTGCTTTGCACCTTCCTGGTGCTGGCTCTCCTCTGCCTCTCCCTTACACCTCAAGTGTCTTGACTGCCTACCAGGTGGGCAGGGTGAACCTGCGTGGTGAGAGGAGCTGGAGTCTCCACACAATCCAGGAGGAACAGCTGTGGGGGTGGTCATTCGGCAGGCAGTGCAGCTTCAGACCATGTACAGGACTGTGTCCTCCCTCCCCAGCCTTCACCCCACTGCTGTCCCCTCTCCTAAGTACCCCCAGGGTGTGAGGCCACGGGACTCCCAACCATGCGCTGTCAGGGTTTCTCTGCTCTGCTCTGCTGTGCTGTGTGGGAGGCTGGTATGGACTGAGTTCACCTAACCTGTTAGGCAGATCTGTAACCCATCGTGCTTGGTTCCCACTAATGAAATAGATTTGATCTTATCACCAGCACAGTGGAGACAACCTTATGCTTGGAGGAGGAAAGTGGTTCAGAATTTAATGTGTACGGTAAATGTTTGAGAAAATCTTTGATGCATTATGGTCGTACTAGAAGAAAGTGACATTAACCAACTAACAGTGTCTCCTGTGATCTCCAAAGGTTTGGCGATACATCTTTACAAGAAGTTATCAATGTGGAGAGTTTGGTGCGATTAAATTCCTACTTCGAGCAGTTTAAGGAAGTTTTGCCTGAGGACTGTAAGTGTTTCTTCATTTGTGGTAGATCCAACCCATTATCTTATGTCACTTCGGGAGTTTGTGTGCTTCCTGTCACTCCCACTGTTTCCCAGCCTTCCAGATGCTGCCTCCTTCCTTGCGCCCTGTCCCCCATGGCAGCACTTTTACCTGCTCAGACTGCCCAGTCCAGACCCCACCCAGAGAACTGTCCTCAGGCTGCAGTCCCAGGGGTCTCCTTTCTGGCTGGTCCTCTTCCATCTCCATCACACAGGCCTCTGTCACACTCTATCTTAGTCACTGGAAACCACTGTGGTCAGGAAGGGGGAGTTCTGTGCTCAGCATTTTTGGGGGTGGACAGTTTGCAGTGACACAAGGCCCAGAGATGTTAACATGGCCTGGTGATGAAGCCAAGGAAGGGTGCAGCTATTGGAGCAAAAGTACCTGGGCACGAGCCTCTCTGGGGCAGAGCCAGCAGCTCTGGACCATGACCCAGGAGGCTGAGGGAGTGGCAGCCATGTAGCCTTTAACCCTCATGGAACTGCTGGGCTGTGAGGCTGAGCGGGTGGAACCCATCCGGTGAATACCCCTCTGACTGCTCTGTTCATCAGTGGGCAGGTGTTCACTGGGTGGAGGGGCAGGGGGCCAGGAATAAGATGCAGTTCATCTGGGGAAGTAAGATGGTCTCCTCCAGGACACTGAATTCTGATTTGTCTCAAACTTGCCTCCTCTGGGCACCCACAGCCTTCATCACAGACCAAGCCTGTTTCTGTTTCTGTGTTTCCGCCCTGTCCTCTGACTGGCTTGGCACTGAGAGTGTGAAATAATTAGCATAGGATCCTGTGTCCGCCAGGGTGAGGTTTTACAGTGGATGCTGCACAGTGCATGTAGATCCCAGAATTCCATGTATTTGGCTTTGATCTGGAGACTTAGGCACCATGGCTGTTATCCTTAGAAACCTGACCTTGAGATGACTCTTTTTCTCTGATGATCCCGGTGTCTGAACATCCCAGGTTTATTAAGTGAGCTGGCCATGTGACTGATCTTTGGTTTGAGGGGTCCCGGAAGGGCTTGGGGATGTCATAGCAGAGGGAGCTGTTGGAGAGGGTGGGAAGACACATACCTGGGCCACTCCAAGGCCACCTGCAGGAGGCTGCCCTTCCCACATCCCTCAGCAATGGCAGAGCCTACCTAATGGTTGACACCACTGCCCAAAGCATCCTCCATCCCTAGGGAAGGTTGTGAAGACTAGATAGGTCCTCCTCACTCCTTCCTCCCTCCCTCCTGCCCTTGGCAGTTCGATGTCTGCCTTCCAGCTTCTTGGAAGAGCTGAAAGAGGATAAAGTGAGTGTCCTTTGCAGGTGGAAGTGAAATGGCAGTGGAAGTAATTAAGTGCTCACCACACTGGCAGCCAGGTCCGGGGCCTAAACACTCCCCTGCTTTCTTGCTTAAATCACACTAAACTTCCAGCTTCAGCCAGAAACTCTTTATTTTGCCATTTCTGAGCCTAGATGACCCACTGGGCTACATTCCTGGGTATGGCAGCAGCTCCCAGCTCCTCTTTTCTTCCAGGCTTACCGAGGTCTCGGAGCCAGACATGCCTGCCAGAGCTGCTGCGGTTCCTGGGCCAGAACGTCCATGCCAGGAAGAACAAGAATGTGGACATCCTCTGGCAAGCTGCTGAGGTGTGCATTACCATGAGCAAAAGGGCATTATTGCGTCTCCTGCTGCCAGTAATGTTAATAGTAACAACAGTGACAATCCAGACCTGGGCCAGGAATGGAGAGGGTGCATTTGTCCATATGGACACAAGAGAAAGACACTGAGCATGTCCACAAACTCGGGCAGATACTGAAAGTTGCCTGTGACTTTTAGGCTCCCTGAATGCTGATAAGCTTGACACAGACTCTGTCCCATGGGGCATTTAATAACAGGCCAATGGTTGTTGTCACCCTCAGACACCTGCAGTTGATACCAGCTAAACTCCCTGCCTCCTGCATCTTGGAATAGGTCCAGAGACAGACCGTGGTGACCAGTACAGTCCCTGTACACAACATTTTATCATATGTGGCAGCTCAGATCTGCTCTTTGACCTGAGCACCTAACATTCCAAATAGGTGGGGTTCTAGGCCCCTGCTCTGAGCCTGGCATCACAGCAGTTTAGTAGTGAGTTGTTCACTCACCCCTCACGGGGTGGGTCTAACTCTTCTCCATGGAGCACTGGAACCTGTTTGTCTTTGGGACTCACAAGTGGCCCCAGATGGCATCCCAGCTCCCTGCCTGGCCTGAGCATGGGAGAAGGATGGTCACACCCCTCTCTCCTGGAGAAAGAGTGGGCCCTGCACTCCTCACTGGCAGTTGGATCACTGCCCTGGTTACAGAGCCCGGGGGCAGTTGTGGGGACTGTCCCCCTCTGTAGCATTTCAGCCAGGATGCAGAGACCTGTGCATACCTTGTTTGGGAACGGTGGCTCTGTTTTTTTCTCCTGTTACATAATAGAAAAACTGTCACCACCCTGGTCAGGTGGCTCAGCTGGTTGGAGCATTGTCCCATACACCAAAAGGTTGTAGGTTTGATTCCCAGTCAGGGCACATGCCTAGGTTGTGGGTTTGACCTCCAGTGGGGGTGCGTACAGGAGGCAGCCAGTCGATATTTCTCTTCCTCTCTGTCTCTAAAACCAATAAACCTGTCCTCAATTGAGAATTCAAACAAATAAACACACAATCACCTGTAGGGATGATTGACCAAAAAGCAGTCCATCCAGCCCATGTTTTTTGTCCCCACCAGAGGCCCGAGGTACAGAAGCACAGATTCAGAGTTGGAAGGGCTTCAGAGACCCTGGATAAGTGTGTTTTCAAATTGTCCACCTGGGACCCCATGCAGGGGACAAGGGGGTTGGGGCACCAGTATCAAGGCACTTGGGCCTTGGGCCCTCCTGTCTTCACTCAAACCAGAGCTGCCTCCTTTTCCGGATCTTACTTATTTTCGTTTGTGTACATGAATGAGCAGGGGTCTTCAGCTGAACAGTTGGAATATCATTAGTGAGGTCCAATCCCTCACTTCATGGATGGAAGACCAGCTGGGGCCCCCTGGCTGGCTGGGGCCCCCAGAGCCTGGAGCCTGGCACTGCAGACTCTGCCCTCTTGGGCAGCGATGCGCATCAGCCCCTGCCTTCCTCCTGGAATCTCATGTGAGTTCCGGACGCTCTGTCTGCGAATGTTGTGGTTCTAGTTTATGCCACGTGCCTGGGCTGTGAACTCTGCAGCTTGTAGAGTTTGGTGAGCATGGCCATGGCTCTCACCCTTGGTCTGTCAGTTATGGTTTTACATATCTGAATGAAGTCATTCTTCACCTAGCTTATGTTCTATTTAGGGTCTTTTTCTTTTCAAAAATTTTGTCTGTTCTCAGAAGAAGCCTGTCCTCCTGGTGGTCTTGGCTGAACTTGCTTGGGCTCCTCCAGTTTGTCTTTTCTTGGACACAGTGATCAGACCTCACTGTGCTGTCTACCTGGTGGTGCACACACAGGCTCTGGCTGTGCTGGCCTGAGAAGCAGGTCTGGTGCCGTCCTCAGCGCAGTGCCGCAGCGTCTCTGATATCTTTCCGGAGCACAGCAGGTCATTGGAGCCCGCCGTTGTCTGGCCCAGATGGTTTCTCATGCAATACCAGTGTTCTCACAGTCCCTGGTGCAGGTCCACAGGCCCTGTCTGAAGCCCTTGTGGCCAGGTGGTTTGGAATTCACAGGTGTCCTTATTTGAGAAGTGACATGGTATGCAGTTGGTACACATACGTGTAATGTGGAACATGTATGTGATTTAACATCCTGGGAGACTCTAGGAAATACTCTGGAATCAAACTCATTAATACTGCTTCACTGAAAAGCATGATTATTTATACAAAAGGGGTAAATAAAAATTATAAATAGGCTTACACCAGCTCAGCTCTGGGTTTGCTGCCAAATGAGGCTGCCTCACACTTACCCAGCAAATCTTTTGTTTTAGGGCTTTTTGGGTGTGGGGACTGTGTACTGAGGATTGTACCCAGCGGTGCAGATGAAGTGATGCCAGACACCCTTACCATGGGGGGAGGGGATGCCCTGAGGTGCTCCTTTCCCAGCCCGGAGGCGGCCCACCAAGTGAGCTTCTCATATGTGAGAGGCAGGCACACGGGCACCTTGCCTGTGCCAGGGCCTGAGGGAGGTGGAGAATGAATGGCCTGTGGGCCTGGTGGTCAGAAGGTGGCCTTCTGAATTGTCCCCCATTTGTGTGGGACAGGAGAGTAGAGACCAGTGGGTCTGTTTTGTGCCTTCCAGCAAGGCCTAAGGACCTGACCAGGGCCTCAACATTCTTTGAGCTGCTCTGACTTCCTTCCATGAGTCGGTCTTTGCTGCCCCTCCACCTGTCCTCAGAGTGGTCACCAGCAAAGGGCCAAATATGACGAGATGGTGTTGTCATAGTTTAGAAGAAGGTGACATCCTGAAAGGGAGGGTCCCTGAACTGTGAAGGAGCACCCTGTGGGAGCAGGCACACACCACCCGTGTGACAGGGTGGAGCAGCCCCAGGGCAGTGACCGCTGGCCATCTCCACCTCTGGCAGGACGTGAAGCTGGGGAGCCGGCACAGAGGGAATGGCTGAGCCTGGAACTGAGCTGTCACCTCATGCCCTACTGGGCCCTCTGGAGCCTGTGTCTCATGTGGGGTGTGTCTCCATTCTGCAGTCACCTTCTAAGCACAGCCTATTTTCCTGTTGGCAGATCTGCCGCCGCCTTAATGGGGTCCGGTTCACCAGCTGCAAGAGTGCCAAGGACCGCACAGCCATGTCGGTGACGCTGGAACAGTGCCTGATCCTGCAGCACGAGCATGGCATGGCCCCGCAGGTCTTCACCCAGGCCCTGGAGTGCATGCGCAGGTGAGTCCGTGCCCGCCCCCCCGCCCCCCTGCTGCTGCCTCCCCAGGCTCCCCGGCACAAGGCCCCTTGACTCCAGCGTCATGCTCTGGTTTGACTTTGGAAATTTCGCTAGTGTCTACAAAGTCAAACTACTGGCACCATGAAATGGAGACAGTGTTCTCTTTTCAGTCAAGGGGGAGATAAAGAGCTAGCAGTCTCTGGAGCAGAACTGCAGGCAAACAGGTAGACAGGGGCCAGCTCAGGTGTCAGGAGTGATACGGGGAGCACCTCGTGAAAGCCGTGTGTCACATGGCATTCCCCCAGCCACCAGCCTTGCTGTGGGTGTGACTTACGGCCAGAGCTGTCTCAGCATGTGTCTGCTACTTACATCATTTGTATGTCTCTGAGTGACAAAAGCGTGTCTGCAGGTTGCACTGGTCCGCTCTGCTTCTTCCCTAGCAGTTGACACAATTTGCTTTTATGAGCAAAGTGTCAGATGAGTGTTCTGTGGCAATGGCAGCCACCCGCCCGCCTGTCTGTGGGCTGTGGCGACCTCACCCTAACAATATTCTGATTCCGAGACAGCAGGCGTGTTTGCAGAATGAAACCCAGGACTCAAAAGTGTCTCCTGTTGACTGATGCCTTGTTTCAAGCACTGCCGGGGAGCACCCTACCGCACATACCAAACGAAAGGATAAGAAACCTGGTTTTCCTGTCTCCTTCACTGTAGTCACCAATGCTGTCACAGTCTCGTTTGCAAGTCACTCCTGCTGAATGTTCTGCCATTTGTCCTCTCACCAGATTCTTTAAAGTGTTCAACTCTCTTATCCTTTCTGTGTGTTTCTGCCGTTTGACCTTCTCACAGTGATGCACCAATGCCAGGCCTGAGCTGTTGCCTCTTGGTAACATAGCATTTTGTAAAGCTCTAATTGTTGTCTCTGTTTTGCCTTTCCAAGTTCATCTGAACCTCTCCGTTTTCTCAGAACACACTTTCAGAAAGTTCATTACTCTCCTTGCCTTAGCCTGGGGAAAGCAGCAGAGGCTTAGAGACCCCTGCCCAGAGTGCCCTTGACCAAGGGCCGGTCCCCATGGAGTCCATGCCCTTCAGGCTCAGTGTCCCTGGTGTCGTTGGAGTGGTGGGGCCGGGCTTTCAGCCGCATCTGTGTGCTGTTGATACCTGAGAGGGGGTGGGAGGCACTGCTCTGGTCACATGCAGACCTCAGCCAGTAAAGGAACAAGGGACCTGGAGGGGGGACATCTCTGGTTGTTGGAGCAAACACTAGGACCAGGTCCACTCAGGAGGCACAGGAAGCCTGAAACATCACTAGAGACAAAAATGACAAAGCTGCAGTTGTCCTACTTCAGACACATGAGAACACAGGGTCCTTTGGGAAAAACAGTAATGCTGGGAACATAGCAGGCAGCAGGAAAAGATGAAGCCCAATGTGGGAGGGACTGACTCCCTAAAAAAAGCCATAGGCTTGTTTACGGGAGCTGAGCAGGGCTGTTGAGGACGGGACACTGTGGACATCAATCATTCACGGGGTCGCCAGGAGCCAGGCTGACTCAGTGGCACATGGCGCCCACCATTCAGGAGACCGGGCCCTGAGCCAGGTGTACAGGGGATAGGTAGACCTCTGTTCAGTCTTGGCTTCTGGAACAAATTCAGTGACAACAAGAGTTGATCCTGACTGCATCTGAGCACAAAGGGCTCAGGGGACCTGGGAGAAAGTGGCTCCTCAGGAATGTGGCTGCCCCACCAGCTGCCCGTAGCTGCCTGGGGTGATGGGGCCATGCCCACATGCACACAGATTGGCATTACAGTTTATACATACAAAGCATTTTTTACTTTTTATTACAGAATTAATTGATACTCCTTATAGGAAAATTGGAACATGCAGGTTCTCACAAATGCACACCACAAAAAAATTCTCCATATTCCTGTTAACAGGTGACAGTGCTAACACTTGATAGGCGCCCTCTCACAGACACACACCCACAGATGCACACACGGATGTGAGTGTGGTTAGCCCAAACATTGTGTCCCCAGTCCCCAAATGGAACAGAAGCAAACACACACGAGCACAGACACATGTGCAGTTCTGCCTGCTGGCTTTAGGCTGCTTTTTCATTTAACTGTCTCATGAGCATTTTTCAGGTTAATAAACATAGACCTTATCATTTTTAGCACAGCATGATGTATCCAGTTGGTCATTGACTGTTTAAGCTGTTATGGGTTTGGGCACTTTAAGTGGCACAGTGAGTAAGTATCCTTACTTGTTCTCCTGACCACACTTTCCCTATTGAGTTCTTAGGTTAAAGAGTGTACATCTTCGTGAGGCTTTTAAATGAGATCGACAGGCTGTCACCATCCCAGTCACACACCGTCCCTGTCTCCTAGCGGCTGTCTGCTCATCTGCCGTCTGGGTGTTACATTCCTGTCACTGTTCTGAGCACTCCGGGCTCCGTACAGCTGGCTGGGTTTCCTTCCTCCCGGGAGCACCCGGGTCCTGAGTGGGGAGGGCCCTCCTCCCAGGGGAACAGGCGCCCTTCCTTCCACCTCAGCTCCCTCTGAAATCCCCGCCCACCCACCTCCAATGATTTTGTCTTTTTAAGGTTTCTTATTTATGTTTTCTTGTATTTTCTAGATCTCTATAGTGAACATGTATTACAATCATAACTGTGTCTAAGAAGTTATTAAAAACAAGGCTCGATCCCATTTCACCTCTGCCTGCCCCAGAATCCTCACAGTACCAGCCCAGGGTGCTGTCCCGATTGCCACCTTGTCCCCCAACCTTGTAGCATCTCAGGCTCTGGCCACGTGCATTTGCTTTAAGGTGACACTGTTATGCCTGACTTCTGTGTTTTCTGGATTATCCTGTGTGGGGAAGACAGGTTTGCTCACCACCTATAAGCATGAGGGACGGGGCCACGAGCCCTAAGGAGGCAGCAGTAGATAGTGGTTGTGCCCTCAAGTGAAGGAGTGCATTCTGGTTCTCTTGCTTTCTCACTTGTATCTGACCTGAGGAGGGTAGAGCGTGCAGGCCAGGGTGCCGGGCTGGGGAGAGTGGTTGTAAGGGCCAAAGCTGATGCCTAGGCCAGTTTTCTCCTGGAGGCCCAGGGTGAGCAGTGGCAGTGCTGTGCTAGCAAATGTTAAACAACCAGCTCTCTCACAAAAAAAAAAATACCCCAAACCCCGGATCGGTAGCATTTGCCAATTTCTGTGGCATAAATACTCCCACTGGGGCCTACTTAGAGCTACCAGTAGGACACTGTGGGACACGGAGTTGGGAAGAGATGTGTACACACAGCTCTTCGTGCTACCTGAGCCGATTCCAGTTCACCACTGGTAGCCCCTCTTCTCCAGCCCAGTGGCTGAAACACCACAGCGTGGGCCTACCTAAGGACTGCTCGGGAACGTGACAGTCAGCCAGTGTGCACAGCACGGAGAGTGTCCCCATCAGAGTAGCACCCTAGCAGGGCAAGTCCAAGGCTTTCTGCTTCCTCTGGGAAACCCTGGGAGGACCTCTGGCCTGTCCCCCTCCCAGTGGGTCCTGGCGCCTCTCTGTCACTATTGCCACCTCGTCAACCATGCTTGGAGGATGTGGTTCCAGAATCCTATGTTTCTGGCTGCCGTCTCACCTCAGGACATTTCTTCCGGAGCACCAAAGGAGGGAAAGCTCAAAGTTCCCAGTGGAGCTTGGTTGGATGCCATTCCTGGGGATAATAACTTGAAAAGCTAGAGCCACCAGTAGCTGATGCCCTGCCACTGCTGAGTCTGAAAGCCAAGGCAAGTCTGGTGAGGGCTCTGCCTTGGGTTGACACTTGAGGTGAATAGTATTTGTTTGAACCGTTCAGCAAGAGGCAGCTGCGGCAAGCTCGGTTGCCCCACCCCCTGCTCAGGCACCTGTCAGAAGGTCAAACTGGCCAATGGTTCTTCATGTTCAGCTTGCTGTTTGGGATCCATGTCTTCGCAGCATGTGAGCGCATGGCAGGGCGGCATGACGTGCGCCGGGCAGCTGAGAGCGTGAACATGGAAAACCATTTTGTCAGCCTGTGTGTGTGTTTTCAGTAGACTACAGTATTTTTTTCTTATTTTCACTTCTCTTTCTCTTCTTTTTCCTTGTGACTGTGCTGGTTTTGTTTTGGTATTTCTTTCACACCCTTTTCTGCATCTCATCTTTTCTTTCTGTTGTGGCTTCATTCCTTTTTTTTTTTAACTTTATCTTTTGGTTCTCCTCTTTTTTCCCATGATTTTGATAAAAATCCATTGCACGTGTCTCTCTTTTTTTCTTTATTTCCTTTCCCTTTTTCTTTTCCTTTCTCCCAAACTTTTTCCTTTTCACAGCATTGGAACACGGGAGGTAGTCACCCAGAAGAACTTGAGCGGCCTGGTGCCCATCCGAGACTTAAGACTAGATCCCAGCCTCCTCTGTTCCATCCCTTTATTAGCTCTGAGCCCCAATTTACTGATTGTGTGGCTCTTTCTGAGCATAGCATACCTGGTGACCAAATTGCGTTGCAAATGAGTATCATTATGAAAAATTAATAAGTCACAAGAAAACGAAAGTGCCAGGATATACCTAAATGGACAGAAGGAATGTGTCAAAGCGTGTTTGCCAAGAAATATTTCATGCCTTACAGTTTGGCGTTTTGTTGTTCTGAACTATAAATACTTGCCAAATTATTTCACCAAGAGGACTTGCTCATTTAAACTCTGTAGTTTTCAGTGCTTGTAACACGTTCTTACAGTGCCCTGTGACTGCACTGTTAGCTGGTCTGGAATTACTTGTACCAAATCTCTTATTTTCTGATGTAAAGCTATTTATTACCTGTATATCACATGTGCCCTGTTTCCAAGAGAAAGGAATTCTGTCTGAAAGAATTTGTATATTTGATACTATTCTTTAAATGTACTGCTAACCTTTCCTTTCCTTTTGAAGAGAAATGATAAGAAAATGATAGATGCTTTATAACTGGCTCATCTGTATAAGCCTATTTATTAGGACACTGACTTTCTGCTTTCATTTCAAAGCGCAGTCCCTTAAATTACAGTAGCAAACAGTTTGCAGAATCATAACGTTTCCTTGCTCATATTTATTATTTCCAGTTCGAGATGACACGAAGCTGTGACTACAACAGCACGTTGTACCAAGTCAGGCACATAAGAGAACATACTGCATGTGATTTCAGATTTACTCTCTTAAATCTTTAAGGATCATTAAACTGATTACAGGAATTAATACATATATTAACAGAAGGCTGTTAAAGTTATATACATTTATTTTTCTTGAAATAGCATTTTTCATTTTAAAGACTGCATCTTTAAATTTGGATTAAAGTCCACACATCTTTTATCTCTACAAGTCAAATGTAGTTAATAATGAAAGAAAAGGTCAAAGAAAAGTGACCAAGAAATGAGGCTTCCCTTTTGGGCAGTTGTGCTAGATGGAGCTGTGAAAGGCACAGAGTCACTCTGGTTTCTGCTCTTACCACTCTTGATTTTAACAAGACACTGTCCATAAAGTGGGATGATTTATAACCTTAACATTCACATTTGGCAGAAGTGTAGTTGTACACCTGTAAAGGTAACAATGAATTAGGGGGGGAAATTCCAGAGGCCCTGTGTAAGAAATACTCGGTGGCTTCTCTGTCTTTCAGTTCAAATTGTGTTATGAACTCTTTTGGACCTCCAGCTGGTTCCTCATACACTGTATTTCATGAAATATTTTTTACCAGTCAAGAAAAGTTGGGTGAATTTAGAAAAGCTAGTGTTTTCAAAACCTTTCAAAACCTTTGTGTGCATCCATGCACGCACACAAACTCAGTCCACCACAGAATCTTGCCTCTATATTCCCTCTCCAAGACTTCTAGAACTTTCTCTGAGATTTCTTTGGCATGGCGTCATATCTGAGTCAGGGTTTTAGTAATCGCAGAAGCAGTTGGCAGTGAGTGATGAGTGCTAGACTCGGGCTTCAAATGCTAAAATGGAAGCTAGTCCTCCTCACGCACCTGGGTACCCTTCTTTCCTGGACCCAGCAGAGCACTGCAGGAGCCCTGGGGCAGGCGCCACACCTGGGGAGACTCCAGTCTTCTCTCAGGTGCAGTGTTGGTTGCACTGTCTTTTCTAGAATACATGAGGTGGCTGTTCTGTGGCACAGCTCCTAAGATCCTTCAGTAGGGAGCCTCTCTGCGAATGCCAGGGACTGGTGGTGGTAGATTGTAGAATGTGACGCTGGTTACTAGGAGGGGTCCTGTCAGTTGTGATTCTAGGAGAAGTGTGTTGACCACTTGCTCTCCTCTAGATCGTGGTGCACACATTAACTAAGACTCTTGTTTACTTTATTTGAAGGAGGGAAAGTAGAGTCCACAGACATGCTCAGTTTCCACTCACAGCTCCCGGGTGCCCTCCAGGAGTGACCCGTGCTGGTGCTCACCTCCAGGCCAGGCAGAAGCCATGCACAGGTGACTACAGACAGCCTGCCTGCCTCTTCCCTGGGCCCATGTGTATACCTGTGACTCATCAGAGGTTCGCACAGCAAAGGAAGGCGAGGCCAGATGGGGAAGCCCCTGCTTGGGGTCACAGGCATGGACACCACAGCTGCTCCTTGGCTGTCGTGGAGCAGCCAGGCCTTCCTGCTGCATGTGGGATTGGCGCTAGGTTGAGAGGATATGAGATGGATAAGAGAGAAGGTATGGTTCTTTGTTTTTCTCTTCAGGGACCGGGTCAAAAACCAGCACATTCTAACTCTGCAATCATAAGGCCAGCACAATGGAGGACACCATCAACCTAGTGCTGGGCCTGTTGGTTTTTGTTTTGTTTTGTTTTTTGGTAGAATATCTGAGAAAAGAGACTCAGTATGCCCACCCATTGTGCTGAATTTTAATCTCATAAGGCCTTTTACTCTAAATCAAACTACATGTGTATCTGGAATCTTTTTTGCTTTAGTGAGAAATAGGCAAGATGAAACAAAGAAGGGAAGATGGCTCAAGAAAGGGGAGTCCCTGAGATCTGATGATTTTCAGGTGGCCTCTAAGCTGATGCTGGTGCTGAGAACTGGTCACTGTAGACATTCAGGGTCACTAAGACACCTGTGCATCCAGATGGGTCCTAAAGTGGAGGAACCCAGCAGAATGGGAAAGCCAGAAGTATCCCTAAAATGAGTTGTCATTTGGGTTTCCATTCTAATTTTTCATTAAAAAATGGATGTTCCGAAAAAGAAATCATATAAATAATTACCTTCTTTAACATGTAGATAAAAGATAATGTCAAAGTTCCAAAATCATTCTTTGCTCCTCAAAGGAGTTAGGCATTTATTCATGATAGGTGGTTTCTGAGAATGGACATTTCTATATAAATGGAGAAGCCGTATCAGAAATAGTCCAATAATGTGAGTTTCCCAAGATTAAATGAGACTGTGCATAGAACCTAGAGCTTCTGCTTTAATTAGAATTATATTTTTATCGGATTATTGGATGTTAGACAGACATGATCATTGTTTACTCTGGGGGCCCCCTCTTGAATGGCCGAGGTGTTCAGCTCTGATGACACATCTCACTGAGGGTTTGAGGCTCTGATGACAAGGAAGCATATTTGAGTTACTAAGTTACTTAATAACAAGCAGGTGAATACTTTTCTGAAATACCCATGCTTATCTTTTGAATAAAATTACTGTTTCCCCAAAATATTTTACATGTTCTTGAACATGAGAATGTCATTTTCAATTTAAAAGGGTCATTGAGCACTTGCCACTGATATTTTTAAAAAATGTATGACATAATAGTGTTCATACAATTGTAAATATTTTTTTAATCACTGTTTCTTGGTAACTCTAAATTTTACATCTCACAAAGGGGTTTTTATACTAAATTTGATAACTAGTTGATTTCATTTGTAGTCTCAGAAAATATAAAAATACAATTAGACTACAGGAAGTCATTTATATTGAGTTGCTTTTGCCTGTTAATTTGATGTCTGCACCAGAATGCTTTCCAGAGAACTCCCCTGATTCTCTCATTTGGGAACGTGAGACCTGCCTGCCCCTCATCCTCCTGCTCTGCACTTGCTTTGCACACTGGGTTGCCAAGACAACCCCCCCATCAAATATAGCAGGGACGGTGCTGGTCATGGGTTCTCTAGGGAGGGGCACCTGTTGGCTCTCACTGGCTTGGTGTAGCACTCTTCTGAAAGGTGACCACAATGAGGGCAGTTCACCTGGAGAAAGTGGCTGGCTGCCACAAGGGGACCTCAGTAGGATCGCTCCTTCAGGACACCCCAGCCCTGATAGCCATGCAGCCCCACCATGCAGCACCACCTGGGACCACTGGATTGTTTTGCACCCACTTAGGAGACAGCCCATTAGTGCAGCCTTGTCAGCCACATGGCTTTGCTACATGTTAAATTCTGCAAAGAAAACCAGCATTTTGAATTTGAGGTGATTAATAGCTGTGGCTAACATAGAAAGATGCAGTTCTTTAAAGGCTTTGGTAAGAGTCGCACTACCTTGTTTTCTATTTAATTTGCTATGTAACAGAATCTTTGTACCACTAGTTAGGATAGAACCCTGAAATATCTAGAAACAAAATACATGAAACCATTCGCTTTTTCAAAAAGTTTTCCTTCATTTAGATAAAGTGCTGCTTTCGCAAATGCAAAACATGCAATCCCACACACCTGTTCATCGCTGTGCTTCTTAATTGCCTTGCTCAGAACCCCACCATCTTATGTGCGTATTGTTGGAAATAGTCTGGCACCCATTTAAATTAACCTTTTTTTTAATGCTATAAAAATAATCAGTTCATTCCATCTTAGTTTAAGTCTTTTCTTTTTTTTTTCCTTTTTTACTGCTGTCATTTCTTGTGCTTGTTTTTTCCCCAGTGAGGGTTGTCGAAGAGAAAATACAATGAAGAATGTTGGAAGTCGCAAATATGCGTTTAATTCCCTGCAGCTGAAGGCTTTCCCCAAGCATTACAGGCCTCCTGAAGGGACTTACGGCAAGGTTGAAACTTGAACACACGGTGTCCTCTAATTAGCTGTTACATAACAAATGTGGATACCCTCTAGTGTCATATATGAATTCTTCAAGAAGACCTGAAGGATTGGTTTTTACTTTTGTGTTTTAAAATATTTCACTAAAGAGTCTATGGAGCATGTTTTTTATTCCATTGGAATCAGTAGGAGGTGATGTTTGGCTCAGTAGCGTGGGTAGTAACAACTGCCCCGTTAAACAGCCTGCAGCCAGGACCACAGAGGTGTCATTGGCGGTTGCCTCCAGAAATCAAGCTAGGTAGGTCTGAAATGCTAAAAAACTTTTTAAATGTCCACTTAGGCAGCTGCTCACTTATTTTTCTACCAAGTAACTCAAAATTGAGCATCGAAGTACAATCCAATCTACTTTTTAAAAATCTGAATGTAAAACAGTAAACAGTTGGATCCTGGACAGACCATAAAATGTTCCATGCTAATTCAAGATTTGGGGAAAGAAGCTAGCTTTGGCTCATGCAGCGAGAGCAGGTGGCTCTAATGAATTATGTTATGGCAGTACAGGTGGAGCCAAGAGTTGAAGTAGAGGTTGAGAAATGGCCTGAGATAAGACTTTATTAGAAGATAACACTTACAAAGCCACTCACACAATGGGGTCCTCTTCTGTCCCTTATGCGTTATAGAACAGGGTGTCTGCTTGAGAATGGGAAGACAGCTGTCTCCTGTTCTCTTATCTCCATGTCTAGTGACCCAAGGTGCATGTCCCCTTCTCGCATGGATGCTGAGTTGCAGCACCCCAGGACCTCACAAGGGTATGGCTGAGGCCTCTCGCAACAGTGGAGATTTATGTGTGTAGATGGTGGAAGCCTGAATCTTTTCAGATCAGATGTCCTTAGTGGGTTTACATATTTATTGTCTTCTGAAAGACAATATAATATTTGACTGATTAAAGTATCTTTTAGGTTTGCAATAATTGTTACTATCCTTTTCTCATTCTGTTATGTAAGGTGACTATTGAGAAAGTTGAAATTAGCTCCTAAAGTGAGATTGTTGAAAGGGATTAATGGGCCATAAAACTTAGGAATTTCATAGAAAATGATGTCTGGTCATCTATTATAAGATGATGAGTCTTATCTGTACATAGCAGAGTTGTTTTCCTTAGTGTATATGTTTTATCAATTCTGTTTATTATGATGATTGTTTATGTTATTTAAAAGGCTGTAAAAGGAATATATTTGGCACATTCATGATGCTAATTCTAATGATTGGTGCACTCTTAGGAAATTCCTGTGCCTACAATTCTGGGTATTATTCTTTGGGCTCCTTTAGAAATGCCACTTGGAAATATAACAGCCTGGGGAACTGAGGTACAGCCAGGAAGGACCACCTGTGGCAGGGACACACGGGGTGAGCAGCTGGTAAAGGTGGAACTGGATGACCTTCCAGATCCCTCCTACTTGGAAGTCAGTGCGCAGACAGCCTGCTGTGTTCTGATTTCCGATGGAAGGAACGTTTCCACTGATCAAGTGTGCACTGGTGTGGAAGACACGTCAGTGAGGGACAGTTGGAGCTCACCATCTCTGTCAAAGCTGGATTCACTGGAGCGTGGTGGCAGAGAAACCCGCATCCACCAAACCCACTGCAGAGGTGGCAGCAGCTGGTGTCAGGCTCTCTTGTGCCAGTCCCTGTTCAGACAGCTTCCAATATGGCTGGTTAGCCTTTTATCTGTCCACCATTTCATTTAATTTGTAATTTTCCTAGTATCTTTTACATTTCCATCTTTTCTCATTTCAACATCACCACCTTTTAAAATATTCCTTTGTCCTTTTAAATTGTCACCCATGTTGTTTTCAGAATTTTTTTTTTCTTTTGGTCTGTAGAGCATTAAATATCTGTGTTTATCAAAAGGGAATATGGCAAATGTTGAGTCAGTTGTTGCAGTTTTGCATGTGGCACTTCATTGTGAATTATTTTTCCAATTTTGTCTTCATGTTATGGATGACCATGAAACCCTGACTTGGCTAATTACGTAGAAAATATTTGGGTTCCAGTGTTCTGTCTGAGCACTGCTGCTGGGCTCCCATGTGACAAGTCTCAAAGGGCCTCACATACTTACCATCCTTGCTGAGCAAGGCATGTCGTCCCGGTAGCCAGCAGCTCCTCAGGACACGTAGGAGCTTTGAGTTTTCAGTTGTACAAGGAAGGCGGTCTTGCAGGATGCCATAAAGTAAGAGGTTTCATCCAGTGTTCCTTGTAAGGCCCCCACTGAATAAGAAATGGAGACATACTGAAAACCCAGGATGTGCTATGGGTTCTGTCAAAGCACCTGCAGCACAGATGCCTTCGGTTTCCTTTAAAATATACAAATATTGTATAATAGTTTGTCTCTACACGATTGTATTTACCAAGCTTAGTGCACTAAAGTACTTTTATTTATTTGTTTTGGACAGTATTAATATATATATATACACATGTAGTTACCATTTTATATATTCTTAGCTCATTCAAAGCCATGTATGCTGTAAATGTGCTAGTCTTTAGAATGACAAATAATAAATAACTGACAAGAACATTAAACTTGGTCTTGCCTGATTTATTCTGTTGCATTAGGAGGACTAGTTCTCTGGCTGGCATCTGAATGGACGATTGATTATTAATGGGCATTGCATTGAACACTTGGGTGTTTGGAAACATGGGACTACGAGAGACTTGTTTTATGACCTTTTTTCACTTACTTTGAAATGAAGGGGCATTGGGGTGGAATTAAGAGCATGGGTGTCTACTTCAGACAGATGCAGGTCCCAATCCTGTTATCACTCCTCAGCTGGTGATTCTGAGCAAGTTATTTTGTTTTCTTTGAGGCTCTGCTTCCTCATATGCCAAGTACAGACACGATGGTGCCTTCTTCACAAGGCCACTGTGAGGTGCCTTGGCAGTAAGTTTACGTTAGATATGGTTGTCACTGTCCCATGTCCATTAACATGGGTCATATCTTCTCTGTGGGTTGCCTGGTCATCTGTGGTGACTTGATAAAACATTTCATTAATCGTTTGATTGTTAAAACCAGTACTACATGCTGCACCCTTTTCTAGGCACATGTGCCCAGTGACTTCCCTTAGATAAATCCCTGGCAGCAGAAATGTACAATTTAAAGCATAGTGTAAATGTTTTAAAAATTTTGTATTTTTCATACAGGCATATATCTTAGAGATACTGTGGGTTCGGTTCTGGATAACCACAATAAAGTGCTGTCACAATAAAGTGAGTCACACGAACCTTATGGTTTTGCAGTGCAAAGAAATGTTTATACTATACTGTAGTCTATTGCATGTGTAATAGCATTATGTTTTAAAAAACCACTGTATGTACATACCTCAATTAAAAATTACTGCTAAAAAATGTTAACCATCATCTGGGCCTTCAGTGAGTTCTTTTTGCTGGTGGAGGTTCTTGCCTTCAATTTGTAAAAACTCAGTATCCAAAAAGCCCAATAAAACGAGGTTTGCCTGTATTATTCCCAGAGAGATAAGCTTACCACCTGCAGCATGTGCCTCTTCCCTTTCTTCTTACTGATGTTTAAAATGGAACCTTGTTTCAATTTCCCTATCTCTGGTTACTGTGAAAACTGAACATCTTTTATACTTGTATTTCTACTTTTGTGACTTCATTAGAATGGGGGTCTTTTTTAATGGTTTTTAAATGTACAATATATTAATCTATCATGTTGCTGCATTTTAGAAGATATTTGTTAGTTGTCTTTTGGTTTTGTTTATGGTAGGGGTATGTAGCCAAGTATACCTGTCTTTTTTTTTTTTTTTGAAGCTTGTTTTGAAAACAAGTCCTGGCTTCACCACTGAAGGTGACAGTCGGAGCACCTGTCTTTGTCCATGAAATGGGCACGGTGCTGTGCCACCCCTGTCCATTCTGTGCTGAGATTTGGCAAATGGATAATAACTCTGCCTTACTCTCATTACAGCTATCACTACCTGAGCTGTGGCACAGAATCCCAAAAGCGTAAGATCAGAGTAGATACACTTCAAACCCCCCTTGGACCCCTTTTGTGCCTCAGCACTATCTTTGCTACGATTCCTTCCTGTACCAGGCTCCTGGTGGACCTTTTTGGCAGGTCCAGGCAGGTCTGCATTCAAATGCAGACCTTATGGTGCTCTCTCTCTGTGGTACCGTTTAACAGACAGAAAGGGAAAAAAATTAAAAAGCTGAGACAGGTTAGGGAGGATAGGAAACTTGCTTTGTTTCCACTGCAAAGAGGAAGATATCGTCACCAGAGAAATGAATGTAGAAACACAGAGCACTTCATCACCTGCCCTCCTTTGGCTTCTGTGGCTTCACTCTCCCAGTAGTCCTGCCTCTTACCATCCCCCCCACTCTGATTTGCTTGCCGTCCTTCACTCACCATTAACATTGTGCTCTTCATCAGGTCTCGGTCCATAACTTTCTTCTCACTCTGACACTCTTCCTGAGGTGTTAACTATTCCTATAGGATAAATTACCACTTATTTGCCAATGATCCCAAATTTTGGGGTCCACCAAGACTCTCTAGGTCCAGATCCATCTACACATCCAGCCGCATCCTAGTCATTCTACTTCAGTGTCTTCAACACAGCATGTCTACCCCAAACTCCTGCATCCCCTCCTCCATGCAGGCCAAGTCTTCCTGAGAAATGACCTCACCTTCCACCCTGGTGTTCAGTTAAAATCTTTCCTATTCCTGCACTAGACTATGTTGCTTTTCTCTGGTCTAGTACTATAGTCTGTTATAGCAGTACCCCCACCCCCATCCAAGGTTTCATTTTCCATGGTTCAGTTACCTACAATCAACATATCACCGCAAGAGGGGTGAGTACAGTACGGTAAGATTTTGAGACAGACCACAATCACATAACTTTTATTACAGTTTATTGTTATACTTTTCCCATTTTTATTACTGTTAATCTCTTACTTTGCCCACTTTATAAATGAAACATTATCAAAGGTATGTATGTATAGGGAAAAACATAGTATATACAAGGTTCAGCACTATGCACAGTTTCAGGCACCCATTGGGGGTCTTGAAACATTCCCCATAGATAAGGGGGGACTACAGTACTCGAATACATCTCAAGGAGCCAAATGCAACAAGCTCAAGGGAGAAGGAAAACTTAAGAGCAGAGTGTGGCAAACACCAGAAGAGGGGTTTTCTCTCAGAGGTGAGCAGAAGGGCCTCTGAGAAAAGTCAGGTGTTACAAGGGGTCATTCAATGTTCTGTTGACCTGGATGGTAGTAACGTGAAGATATATAATTATTAGTTAACATTATACAAACATCCTATATATTTTTCTGTATGTCTACTGTTTCACAATAAAATTATAAAAAGTTAACCCATCATCCAAATAACCTAAAAAGAAAATTAGGAAAACAATTCAGTTTTCAGTTGCATAAAAAAAAAAAGAGAGAGACACTTAGGAATAAACCTAATCTATTTAGGAAGCAAGAGTCTTGTACACTGAAAAATTACAAGATGTTGCTGAAAGAAATTAAAGAAAACATCAACAGTAGGAAAGATTTCTCATGTAAATGGACTGGAAGACTTCATACTGTTAAGATGCCAATATTCCTCAAAGTGATAAACAGATTCAATCCATCCTAAAATTCATATGGAATCTCAATGGACTCTGAATAGCAAAAACAACCTCAAAAAATAACAAAGTTGGAGGTCTCACATTTCTTGATTTCAAAACTTACTACAAAGCTACAGTGATCAAAACTGCGTGGCATGTATGGCATAAAGACAGACATAGATCAGTGAAACCGAACAGATAACACAGAAATAACCCCTGGCATACGTATAGACAAATGATCCTCAACAAGGGTGCCAACACCATTCAAAGAGGAAAGGACAATCTTTTTACCAAAGATGCTGGGAAAACTGGATATCAGTATACAAAAGGATGAAATTAGACCTTACCTTACACAATATACAAAATCAACTCAAAGTAGATCAAAGACCTAAACATAAGAACTAAAACATACAACTCCTAGAATAAAATGTAAGGAAAGAACTTTATTAGACTGAGCAATGATTTTGTGGATATGACACCAAAAGCATAAGCAACAAAAGTAAAAACAGATAAAGTGGACTATATCAATCAAAGAACACAATCAACAGAATGAAAAGAAATGGGAGAAAATATTACAAATCATATATCTGTAAACGGGTAATACCTAGCATATACAAAGAACTAGAATTCAACAAAAGAGCACACAATCCTACTTAAAAATGGGCAAAGAACCTGAGTAGGCATTTCTCCAAAAAAGGTTTACAAATGCCCAACAACAACATGAAATGGTGCTCACCATCAGTAGACGGTGGCTGCCAGGGGTTGGAGGGACAGGGTGATGAGGGGTCGTCTAATGGGTATAATGTTTCAGTTTTGTAAGATGAAAAATGTTCCAGAGATTGGTTGTATAACAAGGTGAATATACTTAACATTGTTAAATTATATACTTAAAAAGTGGTAAAGATAATAAATTTTACATTAGGTATATTCTATTATACCACTAATTATACAGTTACTAATGAAAGTATCAGAAATTATTTTTTAAATGGATTATAGAGCTACACATAAACTAAAACTATAAACTCTTACATGAAAACATAGGAATAAATGTCCATAAATGGGTTAGGCAGTGGTTTTTTCAGATAAACAAAATAAAAACAGATAAATTGAATTCATCAACATTAAAATTTGTTTCAAAATACAGCATAAAGAAAGTGAAGACAAATCACAAATTGGGAGGAAACATTTACCATTGATTTGTGTTTAAGAAACTTGTATACACAACATATAAAGAACTCTTACAACTCAATAATAAAAAAAATAACTCAGTTGAAAAATGGATAAAGGACTTGAGCAGACAGTTCTCCAAAGATATAAAAGTGGCCAATAAGCACCTGAAAACATGCCAAACATCATAACCCTTAGGGAAATGCCAATTGAAATCCCAATTAGATAGCAGATAGCACTTCAAACCTAGAATGTCTATTATCAAATAGATGGAAAATAACAACTGTTGGTAACGATGTAGACAAACTGAAATCTTCCTTCGATGCTGGTGTAGCCACGGTGGAGAAGTGTGGCAACTCATCAAAGCATTGAGTTAAATGACCCAGTAATACCACTCTTAGGTATACAGTAAATTCTCACTTAACGTCATTGATAGGTTCTGGACTTCAAGTGAAACAGCCTATAATGAAACCAATTTTTACCACAGGCTAATTGATATAAACAAGAGTTATGCTTCTACAGCATCACATCAGTGTTATAACAAAACGACGTTTAATAAATACATATTCCAGGACCACCTGTATACCCTATTATAACATTAGTCATAATAGCCCGAAGGTGCAAATGACTGATGAATGGATAAATACAATGCAGTCTAGCTATGCTGTGGAATATTATTCTGCAAAAATGAATTAAGTACAGAGAGATGCTACATATGGATGAGCCTTGAAAACACTGTAAGTGGAAGAAGCCAGTCACAAAAGGCCATGTATAATTCTACAAAGGCAAATCTACGGACAGAGAAGGTATATTAATGGCTGCTGGGTGCTCGGGGAAAGAGGAGAATGGAAGTAACTGCTCAAGGGTATGGGGTTTCTCTTTGGGGAGATGAAAATGTTCTGGAATTAATGGTAATGTTGCACAACTCTGGCTGAAAAATCAAAATACAAAACAACTGAATTGTATATAGTTCGAGGGTAAATTTTATAGCATGTGAATTTCTCCAAATGAAGCTCTCAATAAAGCTGTTACTAAGAGTTCAATAACAATTTTAGTAAGATTCCTTATCAAAGTTATTCTTAATAAAACTTGTAGCACTTAAGTAATAAAACCATCACTTTCCCTTTCTCAGTGAAAAGTAGTACATGCAGTAGACCTCTGGGGTTCGGCAACAAGGACTAGTGCTGTGTGGAATCCTCACAACTTTATGTGAGCATTTAAAAGAAACGAGCTACAGAATACCTTGACTGCTTTAACTCCAATAACCTGTGGATGTTATAAAGAAGCCATGGTTCTTCATTCTTCAAAACTGAAAATAAAGTTGAAAATTTGGATTCATATTCAGCTCTGTACTGTATTAAGTGACCAGAATAAAATTACTGTGATTCTAAACTTTTTCAAGCATTTCATGTTTTTTACTCTTGCTTTCCATAGTGAACACATCTATTTTTACAGTTTGAACTGAATCCTCTTTTCTTTTTGAGAAGAAGCCCATCACTCAACAAGTGTGATCCTCATGGGAATTATGAGACCCAGGCCTGGCTGAGAGCCTGGCTCTATTCCTTTTTCCACCGGGACTGGTGTAATTCAAGGGCAGGTGATCCAGGGAAGACAATAGTCTAATAGTCTAATTCTCTAGAATCTGACATGTGGCCCCAGGTAAAGGAGATTCTCTCTTTTTGGATCATGGATCTTAAGGACATGACTTTGGCTGACACTGTTCTCTTCTTTCCCATTACAAGAGGGGGGCAGCCTGAAAGTGAGGCCAGGGAGCAAAAACTGTAAGGTCCAGAGATGGAGGCAAAGGGCTCTGGCAACGGAATCTGGGGCTTCACATCCAGCTATGCCTAACATATGATATTAAGGTTCTGAGGCTGTTACCTAGTGAATCAGTGCAAATGAGGTCTTTCTTCTCCAAGAAATCAAGCACAATTTATTTTAGAACTAAATAGGACTGAATAAAAGAAAAGCTTCATCCTAAACTTTCCCGATAGACGTTTTCTCCCCAGGCTCCATGTTACTGATTTTAAGTCCCCTCAGGGGCCTTCATGATATTCACAAAGGATGTACAAAATGTGTCATTTGGTTAAGGGGTCAAGTTTGGAAATAACAATCTTTGTGCTTTAGAATAATTCTTAAAACACATTTATTATACTCTGCACTCGTAACTAGTCAATTAAATTTTCCTTCTAAAAATAACTTAGAGCAAGAGAAAAATCTACTTTATACATATTCAAAACCAGAACTCATCCATTCTCTCCAGGGTTCTGTGGTCTAACCGAACAGGTATAAGATAAAAGTACATTTCCTATCTTGGTTTCTGTGTTTTAATGACCAGAGGAAATCCTTTGTTGTTTCCATCTTGGTTTCAACATAATACTTATCAATATCCTTTTCTTCCTCTGAATCTTGATCTGGCATCCAACTGAAAATACATGTACAATTAAATCAGATTTTGTACAACATAATTAATTAAGTACAACTTTGGTAAGGGGCATCAGTACAGGAGAAAAATAAACCAGTTTCCAGCACAATTAAAAAGGCAATGGTCTCTGCTCTCTCAATGGAGCCCTCCCGCCCCCTTCCCCCGAGTGGGTTTTCCTTGCCTCTCTCTTGTAAACTCCAAGGGCCCTTCTGCCTCTGTAACTCATTTCCTGAGCTCATTTCCTCTACAGCTCACTTCTTCTACCTCTGTGACTTTTTAGATAAAGTCTCTCTTATGGCTTGAGTCTTGGCTCTGAGTTCTTTCTTAGCCAGAACTCAAATACCAAGATGCTGAACTAAGGTCTCGTGTAACTCGATGGGCCTAACACCTGGTGCCGTTTTTCCACCAACAATACAATTAACTCATCTTAAATATAATGCAAGAGTTTTTATTGCATATTCACCATCATCACGATCACCCCCATTCCTTCCTCCATATCCCTCTTCCCCATGTCACCTGTACTAGCAACCATTAATCTACTTTCAATTTGTATATATTTGTCTATTCTGGACATTTAATATAAATGCATATAGCAAAAAAAGACTGAAAAAAATAAGTGAGCCAAATGTTCACCTTAAGATGTTAGAAAAACAACAAATTACACTTAGGTAGTAGAAACAGGAAATGGAATTTTTTTTAAAGGTAATTTTCAGAACTATCAAAAACCCCCACAAAGAACCCAAAATACTAAAGATGGAGTTAAGAACAAAATTTGCACTTAAGGTCACAATAAGGATTTTCTCAAGTAGAATCCCAATTACATTTATCTTTTTCTCTGAACTATATTCAATGTATATTTTTCTAGCAAACAATTTCTAATTTGTTTGGATTAATATTCAAATAGCAACTGAAAAAAGAAGAGCCCTGAAAAATGGTAAGTAACAAGTAACCATTGGGGGATTAAAAATCCTTAAATTGTCTATTCAAAGGATGAGGCAATTAAGTTCACAGTACAGCCTCTTAAGGGGAAGGGGAAGGGTGGAGGGTCTAAGTCAGTAAATAAGGTGAATTTACATTGTTGTCAGTATCACTCCCTAGAAATTCTACAGGAAGAAGTTATTTTAGAGATAAACCCTATTAATGAGTCCAATACAGCAAATGTGGGACAGACAGCCATTTCTTCATCTGATCACTACATGATGCTAAGAGCCATATTTTCAAAAAATTAGTAATCTTTAAACATGGGAACCATAAGCAGGATGACTAGATATTAGGTACTATGAGAAAACAGACAATGTAAACTTCCCATCAAACCTTTGTTCTTAGTTACATACTCATTGTTTGAAGTATTAAGTAAAATTACCAGCAAAACCTAAATTATATTTCAGGTTTTTGCCAAGCATGTGTAATTGAAGTTGTATTAAGAGTGATATCAGTCCTTTCTTGGAGGACTAATAGTGAATCACTACTTTATATTATACTTGCCAAGAATTCATTATCATACCGTAAAAAATTCATGATGTCAGCAGCTGTGGTTAGTGTAGTGGCAGAATAACAGAACAGTCAACTATGGGTTTTCATGAATGCTACTTCACATTAACTCACTGGAGTTCTGCATAGTGTCACTGAAACCTATTTATAGTTACATTACTCACATATTTAATTCCACATAGCTAATTTTTAGGGTAAGCTTTAAAAAGTCTTTTCTTACCATTGATCTTTTACATTCAAAAAATGAATATTTCAGAGCTTTGCAGTGTCCTTCCTTCAGACATTGCCGAGGGGATTTTCCTTCCTATGACACATAAAACAATATAAATATCTGGAAATTTTCTAACAAACAAAAGAAATACTCTCCTGAAAATAGTTCTTTTGTAAAAATGCAAAAGAAAAAAAAACAGTAAATTATGGAAGAAATAGTTCATAATTCATTTTGACTATTGGTGCTTAAGGAAAAAAAGGACAAAATGAAAAATGTGTATACTAATTCTGGGCACTTAAAGGGGGCTCTTGAGTTCTTGAAAACACTGGTTTCCATGGGGTATTTTTCTTTAAAATGTATATATATAAATCTAAAAACTGGTATCTCCAGCTTCTTGTGCGTGGGAAAGGGAAGAGTAAAGGTGAAAGTAGTAATGGCTTCTCCCGTGTTCTTGAAATGCTTACACTCCAGAACTAGAGACAGAAGACAGCAGTGTGTTTGACAGAGAAGCCATGCATATGAGATCAGACATGTGGTGAATGGGAGGGCTTGTTCTGTAAAGTAGTATCCAGTGCCTTTAAAGTCTCCACTTGTATCTTTATAATGTAAGTATTTTACCTCCAACACATCTCTGCATTTTCCCACCTCCTGGCCCCCCACAGTCAAGTTTTCTATTCTGAGAAGCTCAACTGAGTAAAAACTGCAAGAGGAAAAGAAGGTATGAGCAGAATTGACACATTCTTCTGAGAGGAAATCTGCCTGAACCTGATGTAAAATTAACTCATTTTTAAGCAGTAACATTCCCTTCTGGCCACCATAGCAGGATGCTGTTACAAGAATGTTGACAGAAGAAATGCTTGCTTCTGACTTGTAATAAATAAGCCTTTTTTTAAAAAGCTATAACTTACCCTGGCTGGCGTAGCTCAGTGGATTGAGCGCGGGCTGGGAACCAAAGTGTCCCAGGTTCAATTCCCAGCCAGGGTACATGCCTGGGTTGCAGGCCATAGCTCCCAGCAACCGCACATTGATCTCTCTCTCTCTCTCTCCCACTTCCTCCCTTCTCTCCCTAAAAATAAATAAATAAAATACTAAAAAAAAAGTAGTTTTTAATAAAAAAAAATAATAAAATAAAAAGCTATAACTTAAAAATCTGACTTGACAAAGTAACAACTGCAAAACTAGGTAAGAGCTGAAACTCAGTAGTATTTTCCTTTTAAGGTATCATGGAATAAAAACCCTACTACTACTTCTGCATTACCTTAAAATATTTTAAATCTGTAAGTTTAACACAAAGGCACTTTAATATATTGTACACAGAGATGCATCTATAGAAGCTATATTACACAACTCAAAAAGGCAAAATTAAAATTTAATTGCCATAACATTTCTTTCTGAATACTTAAAAAAATCCTTACCTGAGAACATGTTTTTTATTGATTTGTGAGAAAGAGAGAGAAACGTCAATTGATCAGTTGCCTCCCATATGCACCCTGACCAGGGAACCAGCAACCTGGGTATGTGCCCTGACCAGAATCGAACCAGCAACTAACTCCTTGGTGTTTGGGATGATGCTCCAACTAGCTGAGCCACCTGGCCAGGGCAAAATTTCTTTTTGAACGCCCTACCCTACTAAATTGTCTAGTAACTAAACCCTCATAAGAACTAATTTACTAAAACATAAATAACTCAGAACAGTCCTAGATCAGTTTAGTGGGAAGATAAAAAAAGAATATGTCCTAGATATTCCTGCCTACACAGGGCTTTTCATACGAGGTAGGAAAGAAGGTGTACACATGCAAAGGCTAACTGGCAGTGTGAGCACATCACAAAGCAGGGGAAGTGCCTGCCACAGGGAACTGTTAAAGGGGTTTAGTTTCCCAGAAATATAAATACATAAAACATCTGGAAAAAGCAGACTAAACTTGAAATTTCTGAATTACTTGAGGTTTAATGACATCAAATTCTGATTTGCAATTCATGAGGAAAATAAAAATATTATTTGACTATTAAGGAAATATTAAAGTAAAACTTTTACTGCTTATAAACATCAGCTTTATGCAGTGCTTGCTAATATAAGGTAAGACCATTTTATCTTCCTACTCAAGGTGAGTGCCAGTACACTGAAACTCACCTTGAGTAGGAAGATATAATTTTGCAATTTTATCTCAAGCAATTTTGATGATAAAATGACCCTGTTTAGTGTTACTTTAAAAGCTCAAATAAGCCAAAATTAGGTACCCTAAAGTTAGAACACTTTTAGTGTTAGTAATAAATACTTTAGATAGATGTTAATGGAGGTAGATGGAGTACTACTTAAATAGAAACATCTGGTATGTTCATGCACCGTGAAAAATTAACCCAAATTTTACCTACTCTGCATCTTCAGAGAGTTCCCCTCAAGCAGATTTTGACACCCCAGCCCACCACTGCAACCACTCCCCAAAACCACCAGAAAATACAGGATATTGTCCTCAATCTGCAAAACCCAATGTTTTGCGTCTGTACTGCCCTTTCACACTCCAGTGGAAATCACCTTTCAGGATGAATTTACCACAAACGGTAAATGCACTTCCCTTTAAGGGGACGTTTATAAATTAGGCTCTCCTGGGTGACCAAGTTCAGCATCATTAGGGCCACATATCAACAGGGGAAAGCAAAGTTTGTGCCATGTGTCTTGGTCATTTTCTCTACCACTTTCTAACATTCCAGAGATGCAGTTTCCATACAGGAGAGAATGTGTCCCATTCATCTGTATGTTCCCTGACTTAGAGCTTGGCACGGAAATGTTTGCTAAATATTTCAATGATTCAATCATTGCAACAAATTACCTGAGTTTCTTTCCTCAGTCCTACTCTATGTACCTTATTCCCTTGATCGCTTATCTCCATGGCCTTCTTGACGCTGAATGTTAGGATAAAATCCAAACTCCCTCTTGACACACAAGGGCTTTCACAGCAGGCAACCTTCCTCTCAAGCATTCTGTCCTACTCCCCATCCTTCAGGCCCAACATCCATTAGCTCCCTCCCGCTTTCCCACACCTTCCTGACTCTGCACAGGCTGTTCTTTCAGATTCTCCCCACAACCACCACAGCCCCCACTCCTTTAATTAGTAACTACTACTCAACCTTTAAGACTCAGATCAAATGACACCTCCTCTGTGAAAAATTCCCAAATTCTCTAGTAAAATGAGGTGCTCTCCACTAGGCTCCCGTGGCGTTTTGCTCCTAAGTGTACGCACTAAATACGTACTAAATGCGTAATCAGCCCTATCATAGGAATTTAGCCCCTCACATGTCCATTCTTCCCATCAGATCAAGTTTGTGTAGGTAGTGATTATTCCTGTGTGTCTCCAGTGCTTGGTAGCATGCCTGCCACTTAACAGGTATTTATTGGGAGCTGGCTGAAAATCAGCAGTCTAGAAATAGCCCTGGCCAGGGGAGTCTGAAGGCAAGACACCTCAGTTTCCTCACTTGCACATAAAATAAAAGTTGGAGTACATAACCTTTTAAATTCTTAACTGAAAAGTTCTATAGACACTGGGAGGCCAGTCTGGCTGACTGCTTAAATCAGTGAACCAAATGTAAATCATGAATCAGAAGAAACATTGATATAGCCTTATGTCCATTTTGGGATAGTTTCCTTTAAAATAGCAACTTTCTAAAACTGTATATCCAACTGCACACAACTGATTGCCCTTCGTAATTGGAATAAACACTCAGAATCTGGCACAGTGGCAGCATTCAATAAATACTCCTTTAACTGAAATGGTTTGTCACAAAAATCCAACGGGGTGGTATCTTTATCTCCAATTTAAAACCGGAGGGAACTGAGGGTCCAACAGTGGCTATATCCAAGTCTATTAAATCGGAGTTGTTGTCTGCACCCAACACCAATAACTCTGAGTCACATGTCCTCACCGCCAACGCCAACGACCAGGACAGCTTCCTCCACCCCCGCCCCCGGGCCGGCCTCCCCTTTCCAGCGTAGGCTGCCGCCGACTGCGCTACCTGAAGCACACAGTCGGACTGCAACAGACATGCGCCCAGGTCCTCCTTCACGCCGGCACACGCGCCGCCGTCTGGCTTGTCCTCGTAATACCGCGGCATGGTTGCACTTCCCACCGCCTGCCGCTCGGACAGCCTCGGTCGGCAACGTCCGCGACTAGGCTGTGCACCTGCGACACCCGCTGCAGAAGGAACCGGAAAGCGGCAGCAACAACTTCCGGCGAGCTAGAGCGAACCAGGAGTCAGAGAGGCCCCGCGCGGCGGAAGTAGGCGTAGGTCAAGTGTCCCTTCCTGGAGGCTGTCTACGTCGCGGGAAGGGACGTTAGCCCAGTGGCTGCGCGGCTAGGCTGCTAGGCCGAGGTGCCGGGCTAGTTTGGAGCCGGTGGAGGCCGCAAGGCCGCTCCAGGTGAGTCTTAAGGACTCTGTGCGGGCACGACTTGGGCTCGCCCGGTGCCGTTTCCTCCGGCCTCTGGCAGCCCGGCCTCTCTGGCTCTGAAGTGACTAACGCAGGGCCTGCTGCTCGGCCTTCAGTGGGGCGGCGGGATAAAATGTCGGACGCTAAGCTACGGTTGAATTTCAGATAAAATAAAGAATAGTTTCTGTTATGAGAATGCCCACTCAGTTTTTAAGACGTACTTATACTAACAAGCATTTCGTTGTCAGATTGCAATATAAGTGGGCGACTTTGTTGGTTGTATCCAGCAGCCCTACCCTGGGCGGGGTCTGTTGGGGAGCGGAGCTAGGGACTGGGCCGCGGGGGCGCTGGGGCCGGACCTTGACTGACTGACTGACTGCCCTCACCTGGCTTCAGAGTGTTTCGACAGGTCTCTCATGGTGACATTCCTCAGCTGAACTATTAACGGAGAAAAACACTGGATTTAGTTTTGCTTTATTTTTGTAACGCTTTCTGGTGAACAAGTTGCCTGCTGACAATGCTTTGATGGACCGCATGTGTGATTAGGTCATTTACTTCGCCTGGTTGGTAACATCATTTAGTTTCTAACTGGCCTAAACAAAGGTTTCACTTAAAGCAGGGGTGCCAAACTCATTTTCATCTGAGGCCACATCAGCCTTGCTGTTGCCTTCAGAGGGCCAAATGTAATTTCAGCTCCTTAATACTTAAGAAGTAGTTACATTTACACAGTCCTGAAATTATTTGGGCCCTTTGAAGGCAGCCACGAGTCTGATGTGGCCCTCCGTGAAAATGAGTTTGACACGTCTTAATAAAGGCTTGACGTTTTAAGAGCAGGGGGTTTTGAGCCAGAATTTGATTCAGAATCTTAATCTCCCTCTCTCCCGCCCTTCCTTTCCCTCTCTCTCCTCCCTGCCCCCTCCCCACACCTTCACTCTCTTTCCCTCTGACTCTGTAGCTGCTATTACCTGGGAGAACTATTTTGAGGACTGAGCAAGGTGAGGTGTGGGAAAGGTATGGCCCCTGTATGAGTGTTACTATGTTCAGAAGACTGTGGTGCCGCCCTCGCTGAAGTGCATTAGGCAGTTCTCAAACCCCAACCAAGCCTCAAAAACAACTACATTTGTTTTGACCACTGACTTTTCTCAAGGATTGGAGAAGTGTCAGGTGACTTCCCTCCCATATGACTCAGAAGAGGAGTGCTAGTAGCCAACACTTTCTTAAGATTACTAGTAAAGTTTCCCGCCCCGCCCCCCCCCCCCCCCCCATAGGAAGATGTTACCAAGTACTTCAGTGAATTCCCCATTGCCGGGGAATGGAGCATTGAATTCCAGGGATGCAGCAAGACACACAGCAGGAGCAAAGCGCTACAAATACTTGAGAAGGCTTTTTCGTTTTCGGCAAATGGATTTTGAGTTTGCTGCATGGCAGATGTTCTACCTGTTCACATCGCCGCAGAAGGTTTATAGAAACTTTCATTATCGAAAGCAGACAAAGGATCAGTGGGCCAGAGATGATCCAGCTTTCTTGGTCCTATTAAGTGTCTGGCTGTGTGGTAAGTGTTAATTGATCTTCTGTACAGTTGAAAACAAATTGAGTGTTTGATTGGACTTGTCATGTGGAGACTCTTTTGTTATAAACTGTTGTGGGTCAGAATTTGGGTATATTTAAAGCTCTTTTCTGAAGCCCCCAAAATCTCACAGGAAAGGAATCTGTATTCCCCCTGGTTCTAAAGGGCCCAAGCAGATGCCAGAGTAAATCGTTACCTCAACTATAAAAGAGGGACAGACTCACTCCATGTCTTTTAACTACTGTGATAAATACATTGATACCCAAATGCAAATTTACTGTGAAAAGGAATATCAAGATTAGAAATTGCTTTTCACAATTAGGGAAATCCAGAGGGAGAATTCTAAAAGTACAGTATTTGTATGACCTGGAGAGTCTACTTGTAAGTTCTCCAATAGTGTAGCGAAAGGATCCTATTAAGCCTTTAAGGTGATAAAGTGTGCAGATATTTCTCACCTTTAACTTATCTTAAATATATGGGTGTCTTTTCAGTACTAATGATGTTCCAAAAGGTGAGCTACCCTGGTGACCCACACACAGGGGCCTCCTTGGTAACCTTGAGGTATTTAAGTGGCCCCTCCATGTTCTTAACCATGTAGAACACATCTTGGGAGTTTTGTTTACATCTGTCTCCCCCACTGGACCATGTGCATCTGGAGGACAGGGACTGTGTGCCTTATAGCCCCAGAACCTTGCAAACTGCCTGAATGAAATTTATAAATCAATCTTTCAGTGTCCACTGCAGGATTCGGCATTGTGTTGGACATGGGACTTTTTAAGATGATAAAGCTTCTCCTTTGGGTCGTATTGATAGATTGTGTGGGTGTTGGCCTCCTCATCTCAACTCTTATGTGGTAAGTACCATACCTTTGGTTCTTCTGATACTACTCTAGAGCCTCCTTTACTTGCTTCACAGATACAGTTGCTGATGGAAATTGAATCAAGATAGACTAACTGAAAGCATCCATTTTGACTGTTTAGATTATTATTACTTGCCTTCTTGTGTCTACCTGTGTCAGAATCTCTAAGGTATGGTCTATATTGTCAAAGTACATGCAGCAAATAAATGAATTGAAATAATGATTATATCATACTGACAAAATTGCTGATTTTGCAAAAATATGCAGTTAGCCAATTCTGCTTAAGTTGTCTGGATGATGGCTCATTTTCCTGCTGCCTTTGTCAGTGGGTCACAACTAAACATATAAGATCTAGATTATTTCATGGAACCTTACTTTGACTTTTTTGTTTTAAATGTAGCACATTTGAAAAGATTTTTTTCATTAAACTTTTGGTGCCTTCCTTCTGAGGTGGACATACACACACACACACACAGAGGTTTTATTGTAAGGATTCTCAATTTGACTTTGTCTAGGTTTAGTTTAACAACAGCGGTGTACTGAATGTAAATCTGGTGTTTGGGTTTTTTTTTTGTTCTTACAGATACAGGGCTCCTGTGTGGTTGGCATGATGAATTAAGGGAATGAATGTGGTGGGTGAGCTTAGAAGGTAGCCAGTGATTGAGTAGGGCTGGTGGTCATTGTATATCAGAGAAAATACTCTGGAGCATTTTAGTCACAGAGAGAGCTGGGTTCAAATGCCAGCTCAGCCATTTACTATGTAACTCAGCCTCAGACCCCTTGTAAAATGGAATTATCTATTTGGTAAGGTATTTGAGAAGCTTGTAGTAGGAAAAGCATCTGGCATTTTGTAAGTGCTCAATAAATGGTAGCTATTAATGTTTTAAACTAAATTCTAAGACTATAACCTCTGAAGATACCAACCTTTTATTTTCCTTTATAGCTTATGATTAGTACAGCACAGGTTTTGTATGTGCTAGATAGTCAATAAATTGTTAATGTAAAATTCTAAAATGTGATCTAAAAATAATACTGCTAATATAAGTCACATATTCATTGTCTAGATATCCGTGAAAAACATGATATATGGAAAAATTTCAATAAATAAGGCTTTCAAGGGAATAGTTTAGTTTGTTTTGGGTTGGCCAAAAAGTCCGTATGGTTTTTTTATGTAAAATAAAAGACAAGTTTTTAATGTCATCAGTAACTCTATTGATTTGTATATTTTGTGTATATCAGCATCACCTGTTATTGGCTTCTAGTAGGTAGAGGTCAGGGATGCTGCTAAGCTACTTCCAATGCAAAAGACAGCCCCACAGCAAAGAATTATTTGGCCAAATGTCAGTAGTACCAAGAAATTTTGTAAACCACTTTTGACATACTCGATCAGTCACAGCGTGTTCCTCATATACCGCACAATTTTTTTTTTGCTTTCAGTTACATTTTTACCTTGAAATAATAAAGCATAACACATAAAAAATGTTGTGTATCTTCTTCCATCTTCAATATTAAAATGGCTACACAAAAATTCACCAATTTTGATAAGATTCTTTAAATGCACACTGATATGACAGCTGTCACAATACAATCTAATGGAATTGTTTCAAATGAAGTTAAAGATGCCTAAGCACTACTAGAGCCATTGTATGGAAAAAACGTAACAGACTTTTTAGCCAACCCAATAGCAAGCTTTCTGCCATGAATGCACTGCCTCCAGAAGACCATAGAAACCAAGTCATTCTGGAGTTGAGTACCTTTAGTATGATTCTATATGATAGTATAAGTTAAGTAGAAAAGGACTCAGTATGTTTTTGAAAACCTGTGTTGTCTTGTAAATGATGTGAGGAGCTAAAAATAGAAATGATGACATGTGATTACAGTCATTCGAGGGGCACTGCACGAAGTAGCATGAGGAGGTGTTTTGGGAGAGATGGGATCAATGATTACTCATACCAACTGCAAGGACGTAGAAATGTGGACAGCGTGCTGGGTGTGAGGGTGTAGAGTGACAGTGAATGTCTGGGGAAGACATTTGACTAGAGAAATTAGCCTTAAATGCAATACAGAAAAAATAATTTTATTTTATGTCAGAGGCTGCTTGTGTAGGTTTGGAGGCGAGGGAGAATTATGTAGCTTGGAGACTTTGAAGTAAGGAAATAACATCAAATTCACACTTTAGAAAAAGTCTTTTCTATGGCAGTGGAGGAAGAGAAGCTGGAGAGAGGTAAAGCTGGATACAATTGTGGGTCTGTATGAGTAGAGGAGGCCCAGACTAGTTTGGTGATCATAGGAAGAGAGGAGAGAGATGGGCTAGAGAGCTTCCTGTGATAAGAGAATATGATAAGGAGAGGAAGCCATAGCCTCCTTTGGGGTAGCTGGCAAGTTTTTGGTTTAGGAGTAAGTGGTGGGTATAGATTAAGGATTCCATGTTGTACCCTGAGTTCAGGTGGCATTTTGAATACATAATGGCAATAAAGGTTCAATAGGGTACATGAACAATAGGGTACGTGACTCTGAACCTACAACAGCCTGAGCCAAGATGAGGACATAACTGGCTTCATTAATGTGAAGATGGGAGGGGAAACCATAGTTGTCTTTGTGCTTTCTCAAAAGGAATCTGTGTGCTAGAGGTGACACTCTCTCTGAGGACAGGAGCCTGGAATGTGCCCATTTAAGGAATAACCAGAAGGGTAGGAATAGCAGCAGGACTACAGAATGGGAATTCTTGAGCAGTGAGCTAGATTCTTACTCCATTTATTTGATGACACATGATTTTGGCTAAAAGGGAAAGTGTATTGGTAAGTTCCAGTTTGTTCAAGCAAAGCAATGTTATTTTGACATTTTTACGGTAACTGAGTATAGAACTGTTTTATTAGTACTGTGTTCTGTTCTTCCTCTTATTTCCTTATTTTTCCTATTTTTATTTCTAATGGAAGCATACCATTTTCTTAACTGTATCCCTGAAATGAAATCACACATACAGAAATCTGTTGAGTTTCTGCAACTCTGTTTATAATACAAATGGTCCTGTTTATTCTTTTCCTTTAAAGATCTATTTTTATATTAACTGGATATTTTATTTTCTAAATTTATTTTTATTTTTTCTATTTATTTTTTATTTTAATAATTGTTCAAGTACAGTTTTCTCCCTTTTACTCCCATTCCTGCCCACCCACCCAACCCTCCCCACTTCCCTCCCATTACTACCCTCCCCCCTAGTTTTTGTCCATGTGTCCTTTAAATTTGTTCCTGTTTAAATTTATTTTTAATTAAAGTTGACATACCATATTATATTAGTTTCAGGTATACAACATAGTGATCAGACTTTGCTTTGCTTTTTTAGATCCCACATATAAGTGAAATGGTATTTGTATTTCTCTATTAAACTGATTTCATTCTTTTTTTTTTCTTGGCTGAGTAATATTTCATTTTATGTATCTGTCACATCTTCTTTATCCATTCATCTATGGATGAACAAATAGGTTGCTTCCATATCTTGGCTATTATAAATAATGCTGCAGTGAAAACAGAGGTACATGTGTTCTTTGGATATAATTGCTTCAGTAGTGATCTGATCAGTTTCTTGTCTTTCCTAGTGGCTGTGTAGTGTTGTGAACAACAGATCTGCAGATCTGCAAAATTCAAGCCAATTGACTCTTTCTCCTTCCTTGGCCTCAGGCACTGGCCTTGGCACTGTGGAAGGAAGATGGTACCCAGACAGAAACAAAGACCAGATTAGCAGGACTTCTGTCTTGTTTTGTTCTTCTAATTGATTTCTAGTGTCCTACCATTTATGCCTGATATGAATGATTTCAGTTTTCTTAAATGTATTTGTCACATGTGGGCCCAGGTTCTTGGTGACTGTGGACAAAGAACTGAACCGAACACACAGAGTTTATAGCAGAAAGAGAGAGAGCAGATTTATTAAGTGATAGTACACTCCACAGAAAATGGGAGCAGGCCAACTCAGAGCATAGATTGCCTTCAGGGGCTGGAGGGATTCTGTTCTTACAGGGTGGGTTTTTCCTGGCTAGCTTTGGCGGGCTTTTATTGTGCATGTACAAATAGTTATATTACTTTAAAGCTACTGCGCATGTGATCTGCCATGATTTTTCTTGATTGGCCATCAGAGAAGGAGGTTGCATATAATAAATGTTAATTTATTATAATGCTATTATTATAATGAAGCAGGGGTCATGTAGCATCTTCTGCACTGGTGCATTCATGAGTCACCATGATTCAGTGTTTTTCCAGAAAGCGGGAACAACCTGTCTTAGAACAGGGTCTCTGTCTTGTATTGATGTCCTTTATCTTAGCCCTGGGGCACCTCCGGAGTTTCCTCCTTGCTGACTATCTCCTACCTTATATTGAGACTTGTTTTGTGGCCCAACATGTTGTCTGTCATGGAAAATGTTCAGTGTGCACTTGAAATAAGTATATTCTGCTGCTTTTGGGTGAAATGTACTAAAAATATTAATTATAAGTTCATCTGGTCTAATGTGTCATTCAAAGCCACTATTTTCTTCTTAACAATTTGTCGGTGCAATGTGAAAGCCCCCTACTGTTATTGTAATGCTGTCAATCTGTCTCTTTATGTTTGTCAATATTTGTTTTATGTATCTCTTCTACATTGAGTGCATAGATGTTTACAAGTTATGTCATCTTGTTGGATTGAAATATTTATTATTATGAAATGCGTCTTGTCTCTTGTTACAGCTTGAGTCTTAAAGTCTGTTTTGTCTGTTACAGGTATTGCTACCCACCTTTTTATTTGCATTTACATGAAGGATCTTTTTCTATCCTTTTACTTTCAGCATATGTGTGGTTTTTAATATGGAGTGGGTCTCTTGTAGGCAGCATATGTATAGGTCTTGCTTTTTTAATCTATTAAAGTCACCCTATGTCTTTTGATTGGAATATTTAATCCATTTACATTGAAAGTAATTTGATAGATATGTTATTATTTCCATTTTATCAGTTATTTTGGGGTTATC